CCCCCACGCAGCAGCAGCAGTAGCAGCAGCCGCGCCCGTTAAGGGATGTTTATGCACGCCAGGACTTTCGTACTTTAGTAAATGACTTGACTTGTTTGACTGTGTTGCCCGGCACCCAAGCCCGCGTCAGGCCAAGGACTGAAGCAGGAAACAACTTTTAGTTGGACTCAAGTCAAAATGAAAATGCCAAGTGAAAAAAAAAACAAGAACAAAAATCCAGAAGAAAATCAACAAAATGAAATTGATTTTTCTCTCGTTTGGCAAGCGCGTGAAATGTATTGGAAGAGAACTGCAAGCTAATTCCCAACTTTTGCTCCAATTGAAATTCTGAGAAATGCCCCGCAACTCTTTCGCTGGCAGAGATATGTGCGCATCGAATTTATTGTTTCAATTATGTTTTCAATTTGCGCCGACAAACAAAAGCCGCGATATGCAAAAAAATAACAGCAACAACCAAAAAGGCTCTCAGCTATAAATAAAAGTAAAATAGGGAACACAACAGTGAATTTTGTATTTCTGTTTGTTTGTTGTCAGGTTCATGCGCAGCATTCAATATAGCGAGACTCGTCCTGTACCCCATATCCTTGCAGCACACCCCCGACCCATGCTCCATACCCGAACCCAATCCCAATCCCGTCCTCACGCAAGTTATTGAAAGTAAACATGAGAAAATATATTGTATGTACTGGCAGGAAACGCAAAAAATTGTATTCCAAACTCAGCGCGTAATGCATGCGAAATTGTCTCAAATAATATTTAAAGAAAATTAAATTGAATTTGCGACAGTGCGAGGGCTGACAGCAACAAGAATTTACAGTCAATTGAGTTTATAAATACCCTATAGAATCGAGATTTGTATATTGGCATATGTCCGCCCCTTTGGCTGAGAGTGGAGCGAGGTGGGAGCGAGCCTCAGTTTCTGTGAATATCTGAGTTGAGCTTAAGCTACAGTAGAAATAATAAGGGAGCTCAATACCAAGCCTATATTGAGTACTCAGAGAAGCTAAAAACGAGAATCAGCAGGGATAGTGATATGGCAATATTAGAGGTATTCCTCGAATGGGCCAATACAAGCATACGCAGGAACATCTTTAAACACGTCATTAAACTACATTAAAAGGCAAATATAACTTAAGTCTAAATTTAATTTGAATCTATGAATAGATGATGAGAAGAGTGTTCTTAAAAGGTGAGAGGAAACAGTGCTCTCCAATGTTATCCAAGTTCTCATTTACCTCTTAACATAGGGTACTATGAATGGAGTTAATGGACTTTTCAAACATCAAGTCGAATATACCCCACAGCATATACATATATGTTACAGGGTATGATAACAACAGTGTAACAACATCGCAAACGCAATGATAATATAAAAATAATCAAAAATCGATTCAAAGTGCGGCTTTTGTTTTTGTACAATATGCCGAAAAAAATGGAAAGAGAGGAATCTTCTTGTTTCTGTTCTTCTTCTTCTTCTTGTTGTCAAAATGCAATCAAAAGATATGGCAAATTGTTGCTGTTGTTGCTGCTCGATAGGCACTTTGTGAGTAAACTTTTACTTCATCTTCATCTTCCTTTTGCATCTTATTTTTATACTTTTCCTCTTTTATTTTGGGCGGGCTCTAACAATTTTTTGGAAATTGAAATTTCCATTCTGATTTGACTGACTGCGCGCTTAAACGGATTTACCAAGTGTGTGTATGTATTAGTGTGTTCCTGTGTGTGGGTGCGTGTGTCTGTGTTCGTGTGCAGAGCTAAGCTGGGTATTTAGTTTTGGTTGCAATTAGGCGCCCGCAACATAACCTGTAACCTGCTGACCCTCTAAGCTAACAGCTAGAACACCCATCACTTATGTATATGTTTATATATGTATATATATTAAGCTATGTGCAACCCCTTTACTGTTTAGCTGACAAACGCTTCGCTTCGTTTCTGGTGCTGGGGTGCGAGTTTTGTTGCCGCATTGCTAGAGACCGGAGGGTCGCACTCGCTACGAATCGGTCAAGCTGAAAAATACGCTGCAATTGCACCTTGCAAACACACACACACACACACACACACACCGACAGGTATACTCATGCAAGAAGAAAAACCAACAAGTACAAATGATGTAATTTAGCATGTTCGACCTGAAAGATGCCCAGCTATATTTTCGAAAAATAAATTCGATGCAGAAAATGGGATAAGAAATTAGTGAAAGTCAATCTTTGAGCTTTAAAAGAGACAGATATAAATGATGTATTCCATAGTTGAACAAGAATAAATATATTTATTGGAGCCTAGTACCTTTTCTAGAATCCTTTATCTACTGCATCACTGTGTTCTTTCTAGAAATCTCTATTTCATTAACTACATCATAGAGTCCGTTCCCCCTATTTATATAGAAATGGTTCATTTACTGCATCTTCGAGCACATTCTAGAATTCTTTCTTCATTCTAGAGTTCCCTTTCTTATAGCAAAACCTTTAATTTTCTGCGTCCTTGAGCTCTTTCTAGACTCATCTGCTGCAGGACTTCGCACTATTATACGCTGACAGCGTAGAGCTATAGCTGACCATAGCTGTCCTAGATGGTTGTTTTACAGGGTATTTAAGTCAGTCGCCCTGACCATTTCGGCTATGCATCGTTGATATTTAAATTGAGCCAACGGGCAGTAAAATGCGCCGCTTGCAGGGCGAAATGCACTTCAAAAATAGAAATGCAAAAAAAGGGTTAAAAGTGCCAATGTGTGTGTATGTGTGTGTGTTTATGTATCCTGTATCCTTGAAATGCAACGCATGGTCGCAAGCGTAAAAATATTTTCGCTCGTTTTTTTTTCGTGCTAGTCCCTGCGTCTCTCTCTCTCTCTCTCTCTCTCTCTCTCTCTAGTCTCTTCCTCTATTGCTTCGTTGCCTTAGCAACCTTGTTTTCCTTTTTTCTACAGTATAGTATATATATCCAGTTTTCTGCTGTTTGCTTTTGTTGTTGTTTATTAATAAACAATAACAAGAATGCTTAATTGCATATCTATTTACTGCCAGCTGCTCTCGCTGCTTGTTAACCTCATTTGCAGCCTTCCACCTTACCCCTGGGTGTTCGTTACCGCAATTCGTGTCGGGAGCTCCACCTCGTCCGCTCTCGCTGTCGCTCACACCCGGAGCGACTCCTCTAATTTTTTTGTCTCTGGCTGTTTCCTTGCAGTTTGTCTCATTAAAATGAGCAAATGCGAAAATCATTTGCGCTGCAATTTTTTACAGCAAGTGCAAATGCTGTGGCGCATTCTCAGCTCGTTAGTGTGCAAGAGTGTGTGTGCGTGTGCGTGTGTGTGTGTGTGTGATCAGACAATGCGGCACTTTTGTCCTTAACTAGTTGCAAGGATATGGCGCAGCGTCTTGGCCACTAAGCTTAGCCTTGCCGTTTGCCGTTCGCCGTTTACCGTTTGCCATGCAAATGCCACGTTAAGTATACGCAGCGTAGTTGCTGTCGCAAATTATGTAACATTCATTTGCATTTAGTGCTCTTTTATTTTTTTTAACTTTTAATCAATGCTGATGTTCTCGTTGCGTTGTTGTTGTTGTTGTTGTTGAGCTGTGTGTTGTGGCTGCTGTTGTCGCATTCAATGTGCGCTTAACAAGGATGTGAAAATTTATTTATTAAAATTTAACAACGCATTATAATCAGCGCAGATTTATATAAATGTGACTGTGTGTGTGTGTGTGTGTTTGCAGACACAACAACTACTTATACACACAGTTTCGACTAGTGGCGTGAATGCCGCTCATCAACAACCACCAGCAGCAACAGCAACAACAGCAGCAACAGCAACAGCAGCAACAGCCCATCAACAACCATCGTCCATACATGCAGCCGTCGAGGCAGCAAATCATTTTCATGAATACAACAACAGCAACAACTACAACAGCTACCCAAAAAGCATTCAATTGCACAGACAGACAACACACACTCAGTCACACACACACATACACAGGCACAACATAGAATTGCACCAACACAAATAAAAACAGTTTATTATTTAATTTATGCGCCTGATAAAAAACTGCTGGTAAAAAAAAAAAAAAGAATTGAGCGAGACCGTCACATAGACAGACGGGAGATCCATCAGATACATAGACACATTCGCTGCCAACAAATACATAGATACGTTGGCTGCAGAACAATGAAGAACTCAAAAGAGTTGTTTGCATAATATGCTACATCCATAGGGGCATATTCTGAGCAAGCCTCAGAGCAAATGCTCAAGGTCAAATAGTTGTAGAAATTATAAAAAATATAGCACATGGGCGTGACCGGCTGCATAATGCTTGTCATGGGTAAAAAGCAAGAATGCAGATATTTTCTGATGCCCCTCGAGTTAATAAATATATTTAATAATATATAATAAATGTATATATCCTCAAACTTAAAACTAATTATGCTTTTTAAAACTTATTCACTCTAGGGTTCACCCAAGACTTCACCAGAGAAGAGTATAGTAGTAGTAGTATCATGTGTGATATAAAAAAGTCTAGCTTCAATCGGGCTGCAGCCGAAATATTCAAATATTAATAACTAATACAATAAATAATATATAATAATATATAACATAAAATTCCGGCTCAAATTGATATATGAATGTTATCATTAAGCAAATGGTATCAAAATGTAAGCTAAGTTAGGGAACTTGATAAATTTGATATCAAGTCCGAGCTCAAGAAGGAAAACAAAAAGGAACGACGAAATTTTCTACAAAACCCAAAAAATTAGACGAGACTTTCGTTCCTCTAGGCAATCTATGAATTGTTGATCTTATCATATCAGCTTATTGACACTTACATTTATGTATAACATATCTATAAAGCGTAATATAAAATTCTTGGAATAATCTACTCGATTTTCTTATCTAAAAGATAAAAATTTGATTAGGGCACATTTTTGTAAATCAAATGCAAATGTAGTTTTTGTGCGTGTTTATAAATAGAATTAAATGGAATTTGTTAAATAAATAAATTGTGTATACGTACGGGCTTTGCTTTGGGTTCCTGCAATAAAATAGAAGAATGTATTTAAATTAAAATCAGTTTGTCATAAAAAACAAATTTGCAATTAAAATAAAATGAAACGGAAAATAGGGAATAAAATAACAGCTTAAATGTGTTTTTATAAAATAAACGTTTTCATATTACATCAGAGGGGATTTAAATTTAAAAACACTCTAATTGCCGGCAGGCTTATGACTAATATACATATATGCAGAAACACATACGCACATACATAGGCGGACATGACGATGGACGCCTCTAATGGTACAACTGATGTGCTTCCTCTTTCTACAACTCCTCATTCAGGATATTAGTTATTTAATACCTTATGACTTCGATATATGAAGTAATATTCCTTCTATATGAAATAATAATACTCATTCTATAACTGAAAAAACCTATTTATTTCCCAAATTCTTTTAGCATATACTCAATCATTAACATATTAAAACCTATTTATTTATTTCCTGAATTCCTTTATCATAGACTTGCATTAACATATTATATCCCAAACTGCCAGGTTAAAGGTATAATAATATAATATAATATATTGCTGTCCAAAAACAATATCTTTAGCTGCAAATTTTATAAATGTACAAAATGAGAGAGAATTACAGAGAGAGAGAGAGAGAGAGAGAGAGAGAGAGAGAGAGAGAGAGACTGTATAGGATATTATGTAGTTGTGCATAATCCGCTTAAAAGTCGTTCGCCCCCACAGCTCAAAGCAATGTAAAATAGTTTTGTCTATCACAAATATATGTATTTATATTCATGTGTATATATACTTGTAGGGAACGTATTTACTCATAAGCGTGCGTGGATCAAATGTGAATATATCAACGGTGAATGACAGAGAGAGAGAGAGAGAGAGAGACAGGGAGAGAGCGGGAGAGAGAGAGTGAAGTAAGTGCAGCAGAAATACGGCACGTCTGTTTTAAATCCTAGAGCAGGACGAAGGCTCAGGCTGAGGCTCAGGCAAAGAAAAACAGGAAAAATATAAAAGCGAACAATGCGAGCAGATGTGCAGGGAAGCGAGAAACAAATGCAGATGTTTGTCTCTATGCGTACGGCTGAGTGTGTTAGTGTGTGTGTGTTCGGCAGATGAATATGCATTTGGAGCAGCGCAAAGGAAATAAAACAAAAATTCAATCGGATTTGTGGCAGAGCCTGCAACTGGACACAGTTTGTCTTTCCATTTAGTGCAATGAACTCTCTATCCATTCCTCGAGCAGTATTTCTTCTGTCTCTCTCTCTCTCTCTCTCTCTACATTGCATTGTAGCAGCAAATTGACTGATTGAAGCAGCATTGTACCAAAGACAAGCATAGCACCTGGCCATAAGCGCCAATTATAGCTGTAAAAATTGCTAAAAAATCTAAGAAACAAAAAATAAAACTCTGCATCATGGCAAGAGAAAGGTATCAGAAAGGAGTGGCACAGAGAGAGAGAGGAAGGTAGGTAGGGAATGTGTGTGTGCTGGTGCAACTGGATATGCCAGGCCACGACATTATATCAGATTGCACAATACAAAATGCAACTACACGCACACACACACACACACACACACATGCACATGCTTGACAGCGACGATAATTAAGTTCACAAGCTCATTATCAACATCGTGTTGTCCATATACGCTATCCTGCTGCACAGGACCCGGCTAAGCCAACGAGCCAAAATGCGAGCTGTGCCTGCGAGTGAATGTGGATGTGTGCCACAGGCCTGAAGCGACAATAAGGACGACAAGGAGCACGGGGACGAAGTCGAGGACGAGAACGAGGACGAGTGCTGGGAGTATGTCAGAAACGATGTGTGCTCAAGTAGGGGCATTGCACTCCCCGTGCTAAGTGCGAGCTCCTTGCTGCTGACAGCTCGAATTTAGTATGCATGAAGTGAAACCTTTAAGTTGTCATGGGTGGCTTAGAGGGCTAGGGTTAGTTCGCTCAGTGGAGTGCATTTGGCTTGATGAAGTTGCCGCTGCCAGTTGCCAGTTGCCAGTTACCGTTGCAAGTTGCCGTTGCCCGTTATAGCTAGTTGGCAGTGTGGCAGGCGGCCACAAAAGTGAAATTGAAAAAGTCTTAGCAAGGACAATACCGGGAATAGGTATGGTGGGACACTGCCAAGTCAATCACTCATACCCGCACACACTCAAAGGTTGCCTTTGGCCGCCATTTGGGGGGAGGGTTGGGCGGCGAGTTTCGTTGGGCCAGACGCCTTTTAATATTTGCTCTTCTTCTTGTCGTTGATTTGCCTTATTTGCCAGTCGTTTGACGAAAGAGACGATGGAAATAAAATGCGAAATGAAAAAAGCATTTTAATGAGAAAATTCCTAAGAAAAACTGCATATTTAAGGCGCTGGCGAGCTGAAAGGGACACTGAGGCGAGCTGCGACAGGAAGCGGCCTCAGCTCTCAGATTTGGGCGCGCAGAGCGGAGTGTGCGGGCGGGCCCAATTCAAATAGCCAAGTTAATGACTTGTGCTGGGGGCATTTTATATTTTTATTTTTATTTTATTCTCAGACCTGATTTGTGAAAGTAAAAGCAGATGAGGACGCGGCTCCGACTCCGTGCAGAGTGTGACCAGCTGCCCAGTCGGGCAGAAACCAAACCCCGAAAACCTGAAAACCTGAAAAACTCGCAGAAACTGACAGCAGCAAAAACAGCGTATTGAATTACAAGAGCTGCACAAATACCACAGAAATACATACGAAGTGCATTGATCCGCATTCGATTCGTGGCAGCAACTAAAAACAACTACAACAACAATAAGAGCAACAAAATCAAGAACCAGCGAAACGTAATCACAACAGTATGCCGAAATATTGGCAACCAGCTGTACTCGGTGAAGAGCACAGAACTTCCGCAAAAGAGAAGAAAGAAAACGACATTATTGTATTAATTTTACATATGTATGTATGTGTGAGTGTGCTCACTTTGACACTGAGAAACAACAGAGTGAAGACCAGCGACGAAGAATATACAACTTATACAGCTACTAAGTAGCTAGTGAAATTTTAGAGTATAATATAAAATAAACTAATATGATAAAAGTATTATACTCTATAGGAAATAGAATAAATAGCAGACTGCGTCATATAACTGCTGTAGTTTCACATACATACATATGTATGTATGTATATGGCAGTATGAAATCGCAAATTAAACTTTTTGTCGCACAGTGTCTTGGGCATTGCCTTTCCAGTGGCTGCCCAAACGACGAGCACATGGGACTTTTCGCATGTATGTATGTATGTATGTTTGTGTAGCGGGATGCATGTGTCGAACGGCAACAACAATAATGATGATGATAAAGGAGAGGAAGATATAAAATAAAGCGCCAATTGTGTGCCAAGCGCGGAAGGAAGAGCTGCCAACAACCGTGGCTGGTCGTCTACAATTTATGTATGGATGTGTATGTGTACATGTGTGCGTGTGCTGGGCATATTGACATGTCACAGCGACTGCAAAATTTACAACTTTATCTATGTGTGTCGTCATTGGAAGCAGTGGCAGCGAGAGCGACAACGACAGCAGCATGGGCAGGGACAGAGCCGGCAAGAGATAGCGGACAGCTTCGATCGGCTGCGTCTCTTTGCGTGCCATTTTCTTGTTTGACAACCTTTTGTGACGCTGACGTGGACGCAAGCGCAGCGCAGCGCTGTCCGCGTTCTCCTGTCAACCTCCTTCTTAATTGTGTGACCAGTCGCGCGCTGTCTCCGCTCTCCTAACTATCTTGTTTGCTATCTCCCTCGCGCCTATGCCGGCTGGAACTATGCACGCGTTCGTTTCTTTTTCGGTTTCCTGTTTGCTGCTTCTGCAAGCAGCGCTGTGTGCGCTGCTGCCTCTGTTGCTGTTGCTTTCGCTGCCGGCGTTGATCGTAGCAGCGAGACAAAACGTTGCGCTCAGCCGCTTATTTATTTATGTCTGTCGCTCTGTCTGACTCTCTGTTTGTGCATGTGTGTGAGTAACGTTTGTATGTGTAGGTTGTGAACATCTGCTCCTGCAGGCGGCAGCGGCTGCGAACGACGCGACGTTTGCTTTTCTTTTGTTATAGCTGTTATTGCTGTTATTGCTGCTGCTGCTGTTGTTGTTTCTGTTGCCTCGTTTCGTTATTATCGTTTTATTGTTGTTTTATTCCATACGGCATATTCGCACTGCGTTTGTTGTTGTTGTTGCTATTCTTACTTATCTCTTTTGTTGTTGTTACTTCCACTTCTACTCTCAAATTTGAGGCGTACAAAGCGCGTCCAAATGGAAGCGATTCACATCCGTGGACATGACCTTAATTTATACCTTACTGCTAATGCTTTTAGGAAAGAGAACGAGAGAGAGAGAGAGAGAGAGAGAGAGAGATTGCAATAGAGAGCAAGATCCATTTTAATTTCGACGTAACAGCTGACTTCCATTTGAAATGCTAACTTGGTATATGGAGTATTCGAAATGAGAAATTCTTGAGTACCTTTAAAGTCCTCTTAAGATATCCTTAGCTCTGCTCGGCCAATGAACTTGTCAGCCAGCAAAGAAGACATCACATAACCACAGCCACTTGAGAGTCCAAAATGGACCCGCCTGGCCGCAGTTTCAGCTGCAGATTCATTTATGTGTGTATGAGTGTGCGTGTACATGTGTGTGAGTGTAACCTGATTTTATTTAAGGATATGCGCAGCCTGCGGCGAGGCTCTTAAGTGATTTCGAAACGCAATGTAAACTGAATGGAAAACGAAGCAAAACTCCTCCTCTCGGCTGCCTCGGTAGCTCTGAGGCAGTGAGGCTGCGAGCTTAAGGATACGCGAATGCTCCAAATGCACTCAAGTGCACGTACGCAAGTACTTAAGCAGAGGCACACACAAACGCATACACACACACGCACACACGCAAACGTGCTTGTAGGTTACTAGTTGAAATGTGGCCATGCACAGGGCGAGGCGAATGCGAATTTGAGGTTGGCGGCGAATTCAGAGGCAAAGATGAAGACGAAGGCAGTTGCATGTGCTAAAGCAAAGGCGAATTCGTTGGCGGGCCGAAGGCAGTTGCATGTTTTGAAATGGGGGAGAGGCAAAGAGGGAATGGACACATTAATTTGCACTGGCTCCAGCTGGAACATCTGTTCCATCTGCGCTGACATAAATCTCGAGTGACTGACCGCTGGAGCGCAAGACCGCGCGAACTCTCGTGGCCGCGAGCGGCGAAAAGGAAACCAGTTTGCACTGGCAGCGATTTAGCTGCGCTACAGTGGAGCCCCAAATTAGTGATGGCGAAAACAATTATTAATCGATTATTGAAGCTACGGGAATATTAATTTCAATTAATCGACGAAAATTAATCGATGAATCATTAATCAAATGATTTTTATTTTAATTTTTTGAGCTTTATTAAGAATTAGAAATGAGGCGGTCAATCTGTTCCAATTTTCCGTAACTGTAGCATCAGCTTTACAGAAATGGCGGTATGTTGTCTGGTCTGTCTTTTAACGAAATTTCTTTAGAGAACGACGCGATTATTTTTGGCCATAATTGATTTTGGTTTCAATTAATCGCAGTCCATTTTGCGATACAATTAAATCGATTATTGCAAATCATATGATTAATCGTGAATTTGCTACCCCAAATAGGAGATGCGCCCAAATAGGAGATGCGCCTAAATAGGAGAAGCCTAATCAAATATTCCTTAAACATAAGCAAAATACTCGGTGAGAAGGCAACCGGCTTGCCACAGTGGCACTGATTTACCCCACTGTGCCTTGTGTAGGCCTTGTCATTGGCCAGGTTATGGCCGCGGCAAGCAGATGCAGCAATTTCATTGAGTAACTTTTTTGAATGGATGCGAACGGCTCTGCGTAAGCCGGGGCCAAGCTCGAATCCGAGCCTGGGAAAATCTTAAAAACTGAATGGCCAACTGGCCAGAATGGAATGGCCAGAATGGCCAGCTGGCTAACTGTTTGTGTATGTGTCTGTGCACTTACCTTCTTCTCGGTGAGCTTCTCGCAGCGGCGCTGCTTGCAGATCTGGTGGCTCTTGTCGTTGCGGCAGGGGGCGCACTCGCCGCAGTTATCCTTGCGCTGGCAGCCGACGCACTCGCCGCAGCGCTTGCGCTTCTTCTTCGACTGCAAAACAGAGGCGGAAGAAGAGAAGGAGTTGTTGTTGGTGGAGTGGTTGGCGTTGGGGGGTTGTTGTTGATGTTGTTGGTGGTAGTGTAAGGTTATGGTTGTGGGTGGGTGTTCCTATTATTCGCAGCGTTTGCCAATTATTGCTCCCGCTAACGCGCCCTCCACTGGAACTTACCTGCTTGTCGCATCCACTGGCGTTCGCGTCGTTGCTGTCGCCCATGCCCAGGGCGCTCAGCGGACTCTTGAAGTTGGCCGTGCTGCTGACGGCGTCCACCTGTCCGGGATTGCCGCCGCTGGGGTCCACGTCCATGCCGCTGGCCTCGCTCTCGGCGCTGGACTCGAGCGAGTTGGGCCGCTGTTTCCGCCGCTCCTTCTTTCGCGCGTCCAGCCGAGCTATCGGCGACTGCAGCAGCTTCTCCACCTTGATGGGCGCCGTCGTCGTCGTCGGCGTCGGCGTTAGCGGCTGCGTGGTGTGCGGCGTGTGGCTGCCGCTGCTGCTGGCCGCGTGCGGGAAGCTGTTGCTGTTGTTCCCGTCGTACGACGTGGGCGTGTGCATGCCCACAGCCACGCCCACACCCAGGCCAGGATGGCCATGCAGCTGGTGTGCGCCACTGTTGCTGTTGAGATCAAAGTCCTCCTTCTTGAGCAGCATGCTGCCCGTTAGCATGTCATAGTCCGCGCCAGCCGACGGAGCCATCGACTCCTTCTTGATCAGCGGCGGCAGGCCCGGCGTCAGGGGCTGGTACAGCTGCAAGTCGCCGAATGCAGCGGTGGCTGCCGGCATCAGCGGATAGGCGCCCGCTCCGGTCGCCCGATGGTGCGAGTGCATGTGATGAAATGCATTCGGCGGCGGCGGCGGAGCGCCCAGCGGCGTGAAGCTGCCCGACGGCGGCGTGATGCTCGTCTGCATGCCCGGCAGCTGCGTCAGCGGCGACCCGACGCTCATCATGCCCGGCGAGCTGACCGAGATGCTCGCCGGCGACATGGCCACCGTTTGCAGCGAGCCGAGTCCTGCTGCAGTAGCGCCGGGCCCAGCTCCTGCGGCGGCCGCTGCTGCTGCTGCAGCGGCTCCAATCGGCAGCGGCATGGGCGTGCCGTCGGGCATGAGCTGATCATTGTAGCCATGGAATTGACTCTGGAATGAGGGCAGCTTTGAGAAGGGCTCAAAGCCGCTCTTTGGCTGCGACTGCGACTGCGCCTGCGACTGCGGCTGCGACTGAAACTGTGGGTGTGTCTGGCTCTGGGGCGGCTGATTGTCCTTGGACTCCATTTCCCAGGGACGTGTGTAGCTGCCGTTAGAGTTGGAGTTCGAGTTGGAGTTGGCGTTGGCGTTGGCGTTTGCGTTGGTGCCGTTGCCGTTGCCGTTGGGGCCTACTGCTGCTGCTGCGGCAGCGGCGGCGGCGGCGGAGGCAGCAGCAACGGTATCACTGTTGTGTGTGCCATGTATGCGCTGGCCATGGGCGTGGCCGTGGCTGTGGCTGTGGCTGTGGCCATTGTTAACACTGGCAGCAGTGCCATTCGCATTGCTGCTGCTGCTGCCCAGGGGTGTTGCAACATTGGTGTTGCTGCTGTTGTTGTTCTCGCTGTTGCTGTTGCTGCTGTTGTTGTTGTTGGTGTTGCTGGAATTGTTGGCAGGCGCCGTTGGCTGCTGCCGTGCATAATAGTCCCAGTGCTGAGACTGTTGCTCCGCTAGCGATTGCTGCTGCTGGTAATGTTGCTGCTGTAGTTGTTGCTGCTGCTGCTGTTGCTGCTGCTGCTGTTGCTGCTGTTGCTGCTGCTGCTGCTGCTGCTGGTGTTGCTGATGTTGCTGTTGGTGCTGTTGGTGCTGCAAGTGCTGCTGCTGGTAGTGATGATGATACGGCGTCGTATAGTGTTGGCTGAGGCTGTTCAGCTGATTGAGATGCGTGTTGTGCAGGTCGGCAGCTGCCGAAGCAACAGTTGCTGATATTGGCGGCAGGGTGTTGCTGCTGGCGTTGCTGCCGGTGCTGCTGCTGTTCGCTGCAGTTGACGGATCGACGGGGCCGCCTGTGCTGCTCTGTGCGATTATTGTGGACGCCATTTAAGTCCGCACAATCGCATGGCTGCGCAGTCCCGATCGAACTGCGCGGGGGAGGGGAACGGGCTCAGATGTCAAATGTAGAAGTATATATCTACGTGCATATATATTAATTAGTATATGTATATTTATATAGTTTGTACACACTGGTTGGCAGAGTTAGATAATTCGTAATTCGTATTGAAATCTTTACGTTTTGTACACGCTCACTGCTCTTGAGGTAGTTTTTCGTTCGATTTGTTGGTTGCTTAAAAGTTGATTTAATTTTCTGGGTTTTTCATAAATTTATACTTTGAACTTTGAACTCGCGTAGCTCGCGTGCTTTGTGCATATTTCATTATATTTTGTTTTGTTTGTAAAATTTGTATTTGAATATTATTCTTACAGTTGATATATAAATATAATTATTTGTTTGTTGTATTCATAATTTATTTGTTGTATACGTGCTACTACTATTTACTTGTTATTCCAAAATTTGTAAGTTGAAAAATTCAAAATTTTATTTGATTTGTACTTTAATTTGTCGTGTTGAAAGATATTGTTGTTGTTGTTGTTGTTGTAAACGGCAGCCATGCGAAATGAAGTTTGTTAAATATTCGCTAATTGTTGCTTAATTATATTAAATTATATTTGTTGTAGTTGCGGTAACTGTTGCTGTTGTTGTTGTTTTTGTTGTGCTGGGTCTCAGACTTGCGACTTGTTTGAAAATTTGTTATTTTGTAAATTTGTAATTTGTAAGTTGTAAATTTGTATTTTGTATGCGTTGTTTGATTTATTCATTAATTCATTATTGGCATATATATGTATACGTATATATATGTGTGTATATATAATTTGATTAGCTTGTTGATATTGTGTGATATTTTGTAAAATTGATGCTTATGAATTTTGTACTCTGGTTTTTGCATTAAAATTTGATTTGCGTTTATTTGTTGTTAATATGTTTACATATATAAAAAATAGTTGCAGCTTTTATCGAAAATGATTTTTGTTTTGTTTGTTTTTCTTTTCTTTTTTTTCTTGCTTTGCTATATAATATTACTTAATATATTAGGCTTACAATTTAAAAATCTTTGTCTTCCGTTTGTTTGTTTGTTGGGTTACCTTACGAATTAATTAAACATTATCGCTTTATTTGTTATTCAATTTAGTTAAGCTATTATTTATCTTTGTTTGTATAAACTTAATACATTTTTGTCTTAGTTGATTTTCTGTCGTTTTTATGAATTTTTGGTTAGCATTCGAGTTGAAATTTGTTTGATTATTAGCCAAAGAGAAATTTTGCGTTCAATTTCTTATGCTAAAATGTTGTTGTTGTTGTTTAAATCCTTTGGTTCAAAATCTGTAAAATAAGAAAATTCATTAGACATATTTCAATTTAATATAACAATCTTTTAATGTTAGCTGACAGCTAAATAAATAATTCACTAGTTAACAGTCAATGTTACTGCGTCAATGTTAGTTATTGTTTACTTTTTAAATTGTTTCTTAATTAAATATAAATATGAAAATATACAAAGTGATACAGGAACTTTTCACTGAACTTTCTTGAAGCTTCGTAGATAAGCATTATTCATTTTAATATTAACAACAAATGTTGGATATAAAATGCAAACGCTTCGACTGTAGTGAAATGCATTGTGTTTATGCTAAAAACTTTATCTTTTAGACATGTTTCCTTATAATATTCAAACATAAATGGGGGTTAGCTTTACCAACTATCAAAGCCCAGACTTCATACATATTGGGTAGTCTAAAAAGTCTTTTCGTATTTGTAATGAAACTTCAAATCATATTTTTAAATATTTATAATAAACTTTATTAAATCAAATATGCACCATTTTGGTCGACCACCTTTTGCCATTTTTCCACTAGAGACATAATTCCATTCGTGTAAAACTTTCGTGGTTTCTCTTTGAAAAACTGCTTCAAGTGATTTTCACAGGCTTCTCTTGAAGCCAACTTTACTCCGTTAAGGGAGTTCTGCATTGACCGAAATAAATGGTAGTCCGAAGGTGCAAGGTCAGGGCTATATGGTGGATGCATTAAAACTTCCCAGCCAAGCTCTCTCAGTGTTTGCCGGGTCATCAAAGATGTGTGTGGTCTGGCGTTGTCCTGATGGAATACGATGCCCTTTCTGTTGATCAGTTCTGGCCGTTTTTTTTCGATTGCTTGCTTCAATCTCATCAGTTGTCCACAGTAAAGTGTCGAATCAATCGTTTGACCAGGCTGAAGCAGCTCATAGTGGATTATTCCTTTCCAATCCCACCAAACACACAGCATTACCTTTCGAGCCGTCAATCCTGGCTTTGCGACCATTTGTTGAGCTTCACCACTCTTGCACCATGATCTTTTTCGCACATTATTGTCGTATTTGATCCATTTTTCGTCTCCTGTTACCATTCTCTTCAGAAATGGTTCGATTTCATTTCGTTTCAGCAAAGAATCGCAAATGTTAATTCTGTCCAATAAATTTTTCACAGACAATTCATGTGGTATCCATACATCGAGCTTTTTTTTGTAGCCAGCCTTTTCTAAATGGTTCAGAACCGTTTGATGATGAATGTTTAGTTCATTTGCGATGTCATGGCTGCTTATGTGACGGTCTTGGTCAATCCTTTCCATAATTTCATCGACTTTTTCAAAGATTGGTCGACCAGAGCAAGGTGCATCTTTCACATCGAAATTTCCTGAACGGAAGCGTGCGAACCATTGTTGTGCTACACGAACTGATAGAGCATCGTCACCGTAAACATCACAAATTTCATTAGTGGCTTGCGTGGCATTCTTCCCTTTTTTATACAAAAATTTCAAAATATAGCGAATTTCTTCTTTATTTTCACTCATTTTTGAACAGCTGTAACTTTTTTCAAATTCTTTGAATTACATTTTTTTTTTTTGGCAATCGAAGCTTAAAGTGCTACCAATCGAACACCACAATGTGTACACAATGTGATTGGTAGCACTGGAGATATACGACGCCAACGACATCTATTGGCAAAATACGAAAAAACTTTTTAGACTACCCAATAATTAATTGCGACATTAGCAAGCTGTAAAACTTAACAGACTTGCACAAATGTTGAGTTCATGTTAACTACAAAAAGTGTGAGTTTATCTATTTTGTTTTTACTTCATCTTCTTCTAGTAATATCCTTACATAGATTGGTAGATGTGAATAATAGGACAATATCATGGAATAGATCTATGTGTATGTGATTTAACAGAGTTGCATTAACAGCAGCAGAGCAGAATATTTGGTATATGAAAACGGCTTGTTGTGTAGAGATAAGCAAATGTTGTCTGCTAATTGTATGCGTTTATCCTAGCTCAGCTCAGCTGTCGCTATCGTGGCTTACGAAGGCAACTGTATTTGTTTGCCACTCTAGCCAGTCCTTTTATTTTATTTTATTATTGCTGCTATTATCGTTATTCTCTGCTTCTCTCAGCTCTCTGCTCGCTCACTTAAAACATCTACAAACTTCAACACATAATTATGGTCTTTGACTATATAATGAGCGTTGGCCAAGTCCAACTTCACGCTGGCAGGAAGCAGCAAGAGGCACAAAAAACAAAAAAAAAGAAACGAAAAGCAAAAAAAAAAAAAAAATGTAAAGGACACTCACTTCTGGCTTTTTATTGCCGTTGGCTGCTGTTGCCGTTGCTGTTGCTGTTGCTTGTAAGTTATGCTTTGGCTTTGTAAGACCTGACACACACTCACACTCATACATGCATACACATACACACACTTGCTGCGTTTTTTTTTTTTCTCAGTTGTCATTTTCTTGCTTTTTTCGCCATTTTTTTAGCCTCGCAGTTACTCGCATTTATTGCTGCTTATGTTGTTGTTGTTGTTGTGTTTGTCTCTTTTGTATTTTGTATTTTGTTCTCATAAAAAAACGGCACAGGTGTACATTTTTTGCGCGTCCTTTGCCGTTGCCTTTTGACTTTTTGCGTTTTGTTACCTTTTTTTTTTTTTTTGGTTTTTCAACTTGCCAACATTTCGTTGCGCTTCACAAAGTTCAATGGGCCTACTGTGTGTGTGTGAATGTGCGTGTGTGTGTGCGCCTACACTCTGTAGCAAGCTGTTGGCCACTTGAGGTGTTGAAGTGTCTACGAATTTGCCCTTGGCCAGTTAAGACAATCTACTCAGATATAGAAACTTCTATCAATGAATGATAAATTATTGTCGTTTTAAAAAAACTCTTGAATTTTCAGATATTTATTGAACTGATATTCTTTAAAGGCTGATAGAAAAGAATTACCAATTCCGGAGTAATACATAAATACATTCCTGACTAGCATAAATAGAGTGCTGATAGGGTAAGATATGTTATCAATCTCTTTCTGTTAAGCAATATTATGAATAAAGATGAATAATTCCAGTAACTCGAGCAACTAAATATTATCCATAATAGGTCTTATTACAGAATACTTATATATCATCGTATAAATCAATCCAAACACAATTTCTTAAATCATTTACTTTTATAGAATTACTCCCTAGCTTCAACGATTTCCATGCTGTCTACTCTCATTGAATTCTGAATGAAAAAACTCTGAATTTATTCTTTTTATACAATTTTCTCATATCTAAAAGCGTTCGCATATGAAAAATAAATATCGCATATTTTCAATTAATTCAAATAATCAATAAAGTAAATTATGCACTTTTATACAAATTACTCTGATTTCTGCTCTGTCAACATTAATCTATTTATATTCTATATAGATTCTGAACTTTTGGTTTTCTAGCTATTTTCTCCTATTTAAAACTTTTCACATTTTGAATACAAATATTCCCTATTTTCAATTTCAATTTTGGTCATATTTGTTCACATGTTTCTCGTGTTGATTAGCTGAAGCTGCCATTAACTTTTTTCCAGCCTGTCGGGTGTTGTTGCCGCGCAGAACAATTAAAGCCTGATTATGCTGTCGCTTACAATTTGCGTGTCGCAATTTCAATGGCAGCAACAGCAACAGCAACAGCAACTCGCATTAGTGGCAAGGAAGAGGCAGCTTTAAATGATCGGCAAAAGGCCAACGGCCAATGGGCAGCAGAACCTGCCGCAGCGTCGGCGATCAGCGAATGCAAGGAAACTGAAGCAGAAACAAAAACACAGAAAAGAGCAGAAGAGAGAACAAAAAATTGATGTTGCAGCTGCCACAATTTGCTGCACTTTCCGTTTTATGCGACTGCGTTTCGCGTTTCGCGATTCCACTTTGGCATCGGCAGACCATCCTGCCGCAGTCGCCTCTCGCATACTTACATTGTGCGCTGCAAGTTGCATGTGGCAAGCTGAAAGCTGTAAGAGTTACGAGTTACGACTACTGCGATAAGGATCCCGATTTTGAAAATTAGGCCAACGCGAAATGCGTGTGTATGCGGCATGTGCAACGCCAGCTCCAAGTGCAACTGCAACTGCAACTGCAACATGTGCACAATTAGCGCTTCCTCTGGCTGACGCTCTTACTGCCATATTGCTGATAAATCAAGCCGACGCTCCACTTTTGTTGTTGCTATTCAAATCGTATTTCAAGTCTACCTGAAGCCCCAATTTCCGCTCTGTGACATAATACCGAATCGAAGGAATTATGTATAAATCAACTGATTGATAAACCTATATACATATATACATATATGTATATATTTATATATATTGATTTTTATCTTATCTATAGGCTGATAAGCGAAGGAACTCGTGTCTGGAAATTTGTGGCAGCTTTTGAGCTGGGATATATTTCAGATATAAGCTAAGTAAACACGGATGTATTAGTGTGTCTGTCTGTGTGTGTGTGTGTGCGAGGCTTACAACAAACGAAACCATGAACAATGCGCGCAATTCACTACAATATCTGACTCTTTCTCTCCCACTCCCCCTCTCTCTCTCTCTCTCTCTCACTCTCTCTCTCACTCTCATTCTCATTCTATGCCTGTGTGTGTGTGAGGCTCTGGCTGCCTCACAGTTTGTAACATTTTGCAAATGTTTTGCGAATTAAACACGCAGCACACAGATGTACACTCATACATATATGCATGCATGCAAACATACATATGTATTTGCTTATGTATGTGTGTATATGTGCACATGCGAACAATGCGTCATTTGAAATACTGAATGCAGAAGGGCACAAATGGCCAGAGCTGAAATAATTTAAGCAATGAATGTAGGTGACTCTCAGCTGCATTGCATTCGCAGCATAAACTGGGCTACACACACACACACAGGCACACGCACACCTGCATGCACATGTCCATGCACGTTGCATGTGCAGAATAGACCAAATGCTATAAGCGAACTCAGCCATGACGAAGGCGAGGGCGAGAGCGAGGGCGAGCAGCAGCCTGCCTCATGTTGTAGCAACTGCTGCGTGCTGCCTGCCGCCTGCTGCTTGCTGCTTGCTACTTGCTGCCTGCTACCTGACTTTCATTTGTCGAGACAAGTCAAGGAATGGCACAACAAGTGCAACAGCAACTGGCAGTTTGCCAAACTCCTGTGCCGTTTGCTCCTGCTGCTCCTGCTACACAGTTACCAGTTGAATGGCAGCCAGCTCGATTGCCCCCCTCTCTCTCTCACTCTCTCTCGCTCTCTCTCTTCACCTCTCCCTCACACCCTATCATTCATCTCTCTATCTCCACCAGCTCTCTGTCTGTCTATCAAGCTGACGCGCTGCCAGCAGCATTTCAACTGAATCAGCTAACAGGCTCCAGTTACGGCTCCATCTACAGCTGATGTTGCGCATACGCCCCATGTTGCCCCAATGTAAAATATTTGAATATGTTATCTGACGTTTTCGGCGCTTGTTCTCAACTTTTGTTCACTTATGAAATTTGTTCAAAATTGTTTGCACACTAAAATATTTATTAAAATAAGCATGCAATAAGCACTTGAACATGCGCATCTGCCACACCCTCTCCGATTTCATGTTACATGCGCCTTGCAACATAATTAAGCCAACTTTTACTAATATGCCAGGCTTCATTCTGCTGGCATCTGCATTATTGCATTATATTCACATATTTATATACATATATCTCTCATTTTCAAGCAGCGCCCAGGGTAGAGATTAGTTAACATGTTGCTCGTTGAAATATTTAATTTAACTTCAACTTGAGAATGTTTTACTCTATGCAGTAATTTATTTTCATTTTTTTAGACAATTTTTAATGAAATCGTAAAACTTCTGAAAATTCTCTTTACAACACTCCGTTTCCACATATGAAATATAATGATCTGCTTTTAACAGAACTCTATTAAATTACTATACTTATGTAGATCTAAGCCATGATATTGTGATAATATTTCACATTTACAATCTATGTAAAGTAAATGTAAGTGTACAGGAATTAAGTGAAGAAGATGAAGGAGAAGATGAAGTAGATAAAACTCACTCAATTTGTAGTTAACATGAGCACAACATTTGTGTAAGACTGTTTAGTTTTGCTGCTTGCATTTACATTTGCATATGCTGTTAACGGTTAATGTTTCGGTGCTTATAGCGTCACGAATCGCTCTAAGCCATAACTAATTGAGAATTATATTGCTTAAAATTTTGAGAAGTATGTAAGTAAAGGTATGTGAAGTCATTATGCACATATATACATGCATTAGGGCTCAGCCATAATCCTAATGCTGTCCCTGAAATGAAATCTATATATCCTTGCTCTCATTTAAGTTTCAGATGGTTACTATCCGTTGTCATGTGTATTAATTAATTTGCATTTGAAAAAAGGTTCAAATTGAGTATTTAATAAAAAAAATGCTCTATTTGAATGTAAAACACTATCCTCAAAAGTTAAATCTTAGATATATATTTAATAACAAAATATATATAAGACCCAGTATCACCGGAAGTCGCTTTAGCCATACAAATTTGCTCATATATGGAAGGTTGAATGGGGACTATAATATTCGTCGTAATAACCGTATGAGTGCTAAAATCGAAGTCGTTACAACCGAATTCTACTGTAGCTGCATATACAATATAACTTTATTTCGATTTACCCATAGTAAACTTTATTTCCAAAAATATAACTTGAATTCTATATACAGTAAATACTCTTTAAAAATATATCAGAATTATTACATACACATACATATACATATAAGAAACTCATATTTTATGCACGCAATTGAAAGTGTTAAAGTCTTGCTTATCATTTACTCCACTAATGGGTTAATTTGCCAGCCGATGTGTCACGTGTAAATTGAGTTATTCGTTGCCAGACAAAGACAGCGAGAGAATGAGAGAAAGAAAGAGGGAGTGGGTGAGAGAGAGGGTGGTAGGGAGGGGGTAGGCGTGCAGGCCTGGCAGCTCAGTATGTTGAGTATGTTTGCAAAAATGCGATGAAATGAAACGTGCTGCGCGCCACAATGAAGCCATGCAAAGGAGCTAACCAAGTACAGACGCACGCACACACACACGCACACACATGCAAGCGGGTGTATGTAGATATGTGTGTGCAAATTTACGAGTGTGTCATTTAGCTCGCATACTTTGAAAGTCACGCACGTAACCGTTAAAGCTACCAGCAGCATGTGTGTGTGTGTGTGTGTGTGCGTGCGCGTGTGTATGGGCGGCATATTGTGTGTATTGCGAGTTGTTTGTTTTTCTCTAGGTCAAAGCCTTAATTTGCCTGCCGTATCCTTTGGCGCTGCCTTGGGCTACCTGTGCATGCTTCCATATTTTGTTGTTTTCGTTTTCTTTTTTTTTTTTGGCCTGAACTTATTTTATGAATGAAAACGAAAACGTAATATGTGAGTGCGTAACTGTGTGTGCACCCATATGTGTGGGCGTGTGTGAGTGTGAGTTACTTGCTTTTCGCAGTAAGTCGTTTTTGTTGCGTGCTCATGTTTATATTTAGCTGGCGTGTTAATTCATTGGGGGTCGCCATAAACTCATAAACTGCAACAGAAATAGATGCAACAATAACAACAGCAACAGCAACAACAACAGCAGCAGCAGCAAACAGCATTAACGCAGCCGCAACAGTCGCGTCCAGTTGGCGGCACATGTGCCTTCTCCATTCTGGTCAGACAAATTGCAGCTAAAGATACACAAACTGCAAGATACAAACAAAATGCGCTGCTTGAACTTGAACTTCGTTTTGTTGTTGCTGCTGCTGCTGCTGTTGTTGCTGTTGCTGTTGTTGTTGCTGCTGCTGTGTTTCTTCAATTTGTATTACTTTATTATTTATTTTGCTTTGCTTGCGTCGTCAGCTTCTATGGCGCTTTAAATTCTCTTTATTGCCCATGTCAAGGCAGCTTCTGCGCCCAGAATGAGGCGTGGGCCGACTGTGACTTCAAGTTGTTGTTTGTGTTGTTGTTTTTGCTGCTGGTGTTCTTCTTTTTCTTGTGTGTTTCGCTTTCGCTTTTGCAGTTTGGCTTTTTACTGTGAGATTCTTATTTTATTCTTTCTTTCTTTCTTTTTTTGGCGCTTCTGTTTGGAGCGCGCCAAAAGAAACAGAAATATGTATGAGCCTGTATGTGTTTGTGTGTGTGTGTGTGTGTGTGTGTGTTTGTCTTTAACTTTCAATGAGTGCTGCCTGCTGGGCTGCCTTGAAGTACGCACGTTACTGTTAGTTAGTTGCGAACAGCCGCGTCGAGTGTTGAATGTATCTGTATCTGTATCTGTATTTGTAGCCGTATTGGAGATTTTGTTGTTGCTGTTGTTCTTGTTGTTGCTGTTTGCCTGGCAGCCTGGCAGCCTGGCGGAGCGTATAACTCTTCAGTACTCGAGCTTGTAGCTGCTTTTTAATTTAACTTGACAAACGTCGGCGCATATGCGCCACAGATACAAATGTATCTAGCGGATTGTCGGCATCTCTGATGCTGTTGCTGCTGTTGTTGCTGCTGCTGGCAGCAACAGCTTTGCCTTGTTCTTCAAATTTTGTAGCTGTTTTGGCTGCTGCCGCGTGTTTATTGTCATTACTCATCTGGAAATGTTTTTTGTGTGTCAATTTTCGGGAGTTTCATGGTTTTTAAAATAAAATATAATCGAACTCTGCTGCCAGCCGTCGTAGTCTTTCTTATCGTTGTTGTTGTATGTGCCACTGCTGGCATCTTTATTTAATTTTTTTTCATCATTTGCAAATGTTTCTGTTTGTTTTGCTTGTATTTGGCGAATGTGTTCAGCTTTAAAGCAGCGTCATCAATCCAAGTCAATCAATAAGTCCCAAAAAAAAAAAAAAAAAGAATGGCCTGTTTACAGGCAAAGCTAAGAATAACACAGAAATTTGTGCGGCAAGTGCAGCGTCTTTTGTAATTCGATAAGTCTTTAAAAATAATATTTTCTTTATTTACGCACGTATCTGGCGGCCTATTGGCAATGGAATTGGTTTTCTTTAAAAATTTGCATATGCGGGCAGGTAAGCTGCATGGAAAACAACGAGAAGTGGCAAATCGACGGCAAAATAACAGATAAGATAGAATTAAATGATAGATTAGGATAGAGATAAATGCAGACAAAGCTATATGAAGATAATTGTAGTGTTTAAATCCTAAATCATCATCAAGAATGAAGCTGAGAGTGAAGGTATATACAGAATAAATATGACATAGATGGAATGTTAAATGGACTGCGAAATATCTAAATAAAAGTTTGAAGGAATTTAAAAGTGAAACACTTGATGATTGAATAAATAACTTAACATTTTAGTACGAAATAAATGTTAAGTACATAATGAAAATGCATATTACTAAATATTGTTCATTATAAAGATGCATACGGATATAGGGAATCAGCATTACCTATGTATGTCCATGTCTACTAAATGGACTACATTTCTATGCACAGAATAATTGGATTTGTTGTTCTTCATGGATTGCATTAAGATCTCGATATTTATAGAAATAAAAGTAGACAACTAAAATTATTGAATTTTCAGCTCTAGAATCTTCCCTAACAGCAGCAGTTCGAGTCTTATGACTTTAGATCTACGTTGTTAATAAGAGTATTACAAATTGTACTCCTTCACTATTCCCTGACTAGCATTGCGATTCTCTGGACATATTCACCTTAGGCAATTTGTAATTTGTTTAAAAATATAATTTTTACAAACCGTTGTTAATCCATTGCCGTTGGTTCGACCGTTGGTGCCACTGGGGAAAATGCGATCTTTATATTTAGAGTTGCTTTTTGTTTTGTTTTGTTTTTTTTTAAGGATCTACTGAGCAACTGAATACCGTTATTAAGGAAAAGAACCCGCGAAATCGCGCACGAATCAAAACGAACGACGGCAATCGGGAACGAAATCGAAAATTTGTTTACAATACGAAAAAAACGCGAAAGATGCGAACGCGACGCGAAAAGTAAAATGTTAACGCAAAGAAACGATGCAAAGCTGCAGGTAAATTCAAATTGTTGTTAAACATTTGCCGTAGCTGTTGTTGTTGTTGTTGATGTTGCACTATTCACGAGAGCAGCATTGTTGCAAGATTGTTGTTGTTAGAGCATTGTGGAAACTGGATTTCCATTCCATTTGAACTGCAATCCTTGATCACTGACTGCCCAAAAGTTGTTTGTGGTGTGAAAAGGAAAATCATACGCGGAAATTAACAACAAAAGATGTTGGCGCACTAACTGTAGCTATAGCTGTATCTGTATATGCAGCTGTAGCTGAAGCTGGCGACGGCAACGCTCCACTCACGACTTGCAGCTCGCAGCGGACAGCGGGCTGACACTGGCAACTCGCACTCGTTTCTGGCGCTCGAACGTAGCGACGGCGGCGGTGCAAAAGTTTTTGTATTTAGGAAACTTTTCACCCTTCGAAGGATACACAACAACTGATTGTGCCGTGCACAAGCGAACGGCAAACCAACCCCGACGACGCCAGCAGCCGGCAGCAGTCAGCAGTCAGCAGCAGCGCAGGCAGCAGAGCCAGCGCTGGCAGCAGAGGCAACGGAGGCAACGGACCCAACCTGAGCGCATCGGCTCGACGCCGGCACGAGCGAACACAACAACAACAGCGAACAGTAAATAAACGAACTCGGCTCGAACATCGCGCGAGCTGCAGCATGTTGCATGTGGTCCGAAAACAAATAATACGAACTTTAGTTGATGGAAATGAGTTTATTCAAATTGAAATTATATGCAATAAAAAAGGAATAAAGAAAAATAATAGATATGTAATTTAAATTATTTATTAAAGAAAGTCTATAATCGAAACATTATTTAAAAATTTACTAAGCACTTATCGACGCCATATAAATGATTTTAGTTATTTTCTTAACTAGAATTTCTATCTAAGAATCATAAATAAACATTTCTCGACCTGCTATATTCTGTGAATTCGAAGTATATAATTTTGCAGACCATAGATTTAGTAGTGGAAGTAATTCAAATTTATATTACACAATATGCATATACAAAATTTTGTTATTTAGATGAAACATCAAAATAAAATGTAGTCAAATATGCATTATCATTAATATTTGAAAGATATATTTGCCCGATACAAAATGTAAATATTGACATAATAAGTTTAACGTTGAAAACAATTAAAATGTAAAAATGAAAAGCCATAACAAACAAAATATTTATAATTCAAATTAAAATTCTTTTGATTTTTGTTGATTTATCTGGTTTTATGATATAAATTATGAGTTTGTTCTAGTACTTATGTCTGTTGTAGATATTTTGTAATGTTATTGATTTTCTTTGTAATGTATTTTGTATGGTTTTTTTTTTGTTATTATTAAGTCCAATTAGCAAGTGGAATCTTTGGATTTTGTTATGATTGAGCTACATATATTATCTTATTATATGACAATCTTATTAAATCTAAGCTGCATTTGAGTTCTTGATTCGTTTAGTTTATAATAAGTAATAAGGAATTAATTAAAATAATAATTATATTATAATGTAAAAAGTATAAACATTATAATTATATTTATTTACCATTTATTAAAAACCGGATTTTTAATAGTTTCCTAAAAAAAATGATTCTCTACATAAATTTAAAAAAAATTACTATATTTTATATAATATAAAATTTATTTTTTACTGTTCAGCTGCTCAAGTCGAGTCACCCTGTTGTTGTCACTAGTTGCGTAGTGTTGGATTGCAACCTTCGATCGGCAACTCATACCAGCGCTCAAGCTTGTTGCTTGCCGTCGCAGTTGTTGCTTGCTGTCTTGTGTCCTGGTTCAAACAAGTCCTGCACAAACACACACACTCACATATATACACACGCACATGCAGAGCTATACATAAACAGCTGCATTTGCTCTATGCTGACAAACACACACACACAGCCATAAAGACACATAAACACGAACATGCGGCGTTTGAAGTAGGTTTTGTTGTTGTTGTTGTTGCTGCCGCTGCCGCTGCCGCAACGTCCTCTGTACAGTTGTTGTTCCAATTAAAAATTTTTTTCCCTAGTTTCGCGCGTACAATGCGAACTTGCAATCTATGAGCCATGCAACAGCAACAGCAACAGCAGCGGCAGCGGCAGCGGCAGCAGCAGCGGCTAGAGCGACGAGCGAATACTTTCTGGTTTTATTTCGCTGTTGCCGCTGTGCTCGTTTCTGTGTGAAGCCTGGACCTTGTGGGCGTAACATCATGTGTGTGTGTGTGTGTGTGAGTTCTATATCCTTGCTGGCATTGCACTGGCTGTTGTGGGATTTTTGGTACAATTTGCCTTCTTATTTCACTTTTTTGCCAGCAGCTTTTGTAAAGAGCTGCGAGGGACAGAAAGAGACAGCGACAGCGAGAGAGAAGGAGGGAGGGTGGGCAATAGTAGGCGGAGGGTGGAGAGGGGAGAGAGCGGAGCGTCACGGTTCCTAGCTGTGGCACTGTTTCTCATCCTCATCCTGTTCCTGTTCTATATGTCAGTTGATTTCATTTCACTTTTTTTCGCCAAACTATTAGTTGAGCTTGTGCAAATGTGTTTGCGTGTGTGTTTATATGGGTGTGTGTGTGTGTGTGTGCGTGTAATTTCTGCTGCCAGTGCTTTTTCGGCCATGCAGTCTGCAGTTGTTGCTGTTGGTAGAAGCCTTTTGACGGCAGCGAAATGTGAATACGCGCCGGGCATAAGGATTTAGCTTTGGCGCTGCACAAAAAGGCAAGCAAAACCTTGACAGTTGCATTGTGGCATGGAAATTGGGAACAGGCAAATGTCGGTGGGAAGGCGGGAGGGCGTTGGGAACCTTTGCTTATTTGCATTGCGTAATGGAAAATCATCGTGGTACGCAACCCTTATCCTAATGCTTATCCTGGCCGAGGAACACTGACCTGTCCTACACACCGAAAATCACACAAGGTAAACACAGAAGGCACACACACAGCGAGAGAGCGAAGGAAAGAGAAAGAGAAAGATAGAGAAAGAGGGAGAGAGAGAGAGTTACGCACGCTGGCTAAGAAATTGCTCGTTGAGTTACATCTGCACAAACAGAAGACGCAGCCGTCGTCGTGGGTAAGGGGCGTGCAACTGCAACGTCTGCTGCCCCTGCTGCTGCTGCTGCTGCTGCTGCTGGCGTCGTATTGGTCTGTGGCATTGCCTTTGACTTTGCCACTTTGCCGTTTGATTGCGCTGCAGCGGTGAGCGAAACTTTGGCCGGGCTGCAAGAAGTTGTGCGTGCCACAAAGTTACTTAAGCGATTCGAATGTACATATGTCTGTGTGAGTGTATGTCTGTATGCGTGTCCTTTGTCAGGCAACAAAGGACATTCACATTGCAGCAGCAGCAGCAGCAGCAGCAACGCGAACAACAACTACGATAAAGTATCTGACAGTTGCAGCTACGTATTTGAAAAATGAAAGAAATGCGCGCGCGTTTCGCAAAAATGCAAAATAAAGAGGAAGCACAGCAGGCGACGGCTTTAAAGTTCGCAAGGTCGAACATTGAATACCTTGCATGAAAAACAACAAAAAATTGAACTTGCTCAAACTTTTAGCTGTATTATAGTTAAAGTTTAGCAGCTGAAGACTCTTGCTTACATTGCTGTAGCCCTAATTTATTTATTCAAGCTTCGAATAGCGAATGGGCTCCATTTAGTGAGGGTATAAACAGCAGGCGATGGCAACAACTTTACCGCAAGCAGCAAGACACAGCAGCAAAAGTTCTGACAGTGTTGCCGTGCCTGATAACTGTGGCTGAAGCTGAAGCTGAAGCTGAAACTAAAGTGGAAGTTGGAGTTGAAGTTGAATGCACGCGAGTCATGCCCTGGCATCGCCATCAAGGACCCATCCGGTGTGTGTGTGTCCTGCGAAAAGAAGTAGCCGAAGAGATAGCGAGGAGAGAGAGAGAGAGTGAGAAAGGGAGAGAGAGCGCGAGATCTTTCAGCTATGAAAGTGCGGCACAAATGCACGTAATACGAGCAACACAAGCCAAATGCATTAACAGCAAACAGCCAACAGCAACAGCAGCACACACACATACATATATATATTTATATATACACATATATATATACACACAAGTATATTCTCATATATATTTTTTATTTGTTCCATTACAGCCCTGCTGCTGCTATTGTTGTTGTTGTCGTTGTTGTTGCTGCAGTTGTTGTTGCTGTCGTACGAGTTTTGAGTTTTCCGAAATCATGAAAGGAGCAGATGTTAAATTTTTATACACAACGCAGCGGCTGCCTTTGCTGCCCGCGTCGACTGCGCAGTTGCTGTCGCTGCTGCTGTTGCTGCATTATTACCCGCTGCTGCTGTTGTTGTTGTTGCTGTTGCTGTTGCTGTTGCTGCTTCCTTTGCTCTGTGAGCTCGTTTCGAGGTAGCCGCAGCACTTTTTGCTTTGCCACAAAACTTCAGCTGCTCCGCGTTGGACTTGGACTTGGCTCTAGACTACAACGGAGCGCGGAGAGCAGAGAGCAGAGAGCAGAACTTCTGCAGCTTATGTTGTTCAGCAGTCAGAGTTTTGGCTTAGATTTACTTGATGTTCTGGCAGCTGTTGAGCATATTTCTCAAATATCTTTCAACGTTGCAGTTTAATTGTCGCAATTGCTGGCTTCGTCGCATCCCTTCTGCCCGTTCAGCCATTACCTGATTTGTCAATGTCCTGTCGTCCTTATACCCGACCTTTACCTGGCTGGGCACGACGCTCCGCTGCGTATTGGAACAATAGTTTTTCATTTCGTGATGCTAATCATTGCTAAAACTCACTGCGCACGCACACACACGCACATACATGAACATCATCTCATTTCAAATTAACCCTCATGCACACACATACACACACACTTTCACACTAACACACATTTATGAAGGCAACGCACAGTGGGTGGGTATGTCCGACTGCATTGTGCCCAGAACAGGTAAGCGAATTAGAATCGATCGAGGCTATTGCACCTTGTGTCCACATTGTGCTGCCATCAAACTCCATTGCGAAACTATAGGGTATATAGAGTTATATATGACAATAATATTATAATAAAGATGGTTTACATTTAATTGCTATCGATTTCTTTATGTTTATTATACAATTTATTTGAATTGTATATTCTTTTAATTTCAAATTTAAATCTTGTTTTGATGTCATTGCATAGAAAACTTACATACTTACATACATACTTAAAGCAAACTTAGCCTGCTCACGCTGTAGATAGTCGCAAGTTCTTCCGTCTGTTATATACTAAACAAATCATATTAAATTAAACTTTATATAAATATATACAGTTATATATTGATATTTGTATATATTCTAGCATTGTTAGTTGATAGATATTGTTTAATGAAATCCGGTTATAAAGAGTTTCAAGGGACCGTCGTAATAACCGGAAGACGCTATAACTATATAATATAGCCGCAATATAGCCGGATTCTACTGTATTTCAGATATACTTTTTGTTAATTTATTAGACTCAAGCTCATTTATTTGTTGTGAAGTATACACGTTAATATATAAATATTTAAAGTGAACTATACTGTCATTATTACAGCACGAAATTTGACTCACGACTGAGCCAATTGAGTTGCTGGCATTGGACTATTTTCCATAGATCTCTAGACTTCGAGTGCGTACGGGATGGCTTTGTGTAAAAAATACACAGATACTTGTGCCACCGTCCGCTTTCACCCGAGTCCCCGCTCTCCAGCCCTTTTCCATCCTGACAGGCATCAATCGATGCATGCTGCCAGCTCTTCCACTGCCCTTCCGACTGCAGTAGGAATGAGCCAACGATAGGGATTGGGATTTCGATTCCGTTTTGCGCGTGACACCTGATGATATTTTACGATTATTGTTTTTGGATTTATGAAATGTAATTCCAATTGCAGCAGGTGCTCTCTCATTTAGTTATTGTTGTGTTTATCTTCGTTGTTGTAGCTGTTCTTGTTGTTGTTGCACACATTTTGTTATTTTGCAATCATTATTAAATTGCTGCAGACCGAAAATTCCATTAAATGGAAAACCGCATATCGAAATTGCTGCATGCCCAAGGCTCAATCAACTAATGGTTGATTAGAACTCGGGCTCCATGTACTTTATTCAACGATATGAGACACTCAAAAAATAACTGTTATGCTAACAGGAAAAATTGATTAAGTGTTGTGAAAATATAAATTGAAATATCTCTACAAATAAAATTGATTATGTCAGAAATTACGGATGGAAAATTCCAATTGTTTAATATTGATGAGAATAAATTGTGACTTTGTAGGTTTCACCTTGCCCTAAGGATAACCGTCATTTCTTTGTTATTATTTATTTAAAAATATTCAAACTTAAGAAGTAATTGAAATAAGTGCAGTTTTTATTAGAGGTATAGAATTGTTATTTAAGGATTAGCTTTTTCTTAGTTTTTATATACAAACCATTTATGTAGATCATCCGAGTCAAACAAGATTTTCATTTTGAAAATGTTTTTTAATTATTTTGTTGGTTTATTGAAAATTAATTCCATTAGTTTGCCTTTGCTTTGATTTTACTAATTTTTTGTTTTTAAATTAAATGTAAAACTACACTAAATGCATGTGTGTGTGCTTGGGCGTGTGTGTGGGTATGCATATGACAGTGTGCATGTGTGTGTGCTTGTTTAAAATTTAATTATCAATTATTTGCTGCAAAAATCGTGTTCATATCGAATTTCAATACTCGATACAGTGAATGGCTACTCGGATGTGTGAATAGGATTCGCTCTGTCGCTCTCGCTGTCGCTGTCGCTGTTGTTGTTGCTATCTCTGTCGTCGTTGTGCATCTGGCTCCTGCTACGTAGTACGTACGTGGCTGCCTAATTGGCGGCTATAGTGCAGACACAGCAACTGGGAAACCAGAACGTGTCCGTGTAGAGATTTTGGCCGTTGCCCTGAAGCGCTATTAAACGTTTTTGTACAAACTTCTGCTCGCACCTGGAATTGTAGCCATTGGGCAGATCGCACAGGTTCGAGCATGTGTTTGAGCTGAAAGAGATAGATTGATAGGGGGAGAAGGGAATTATATAACAGCGGAAACAGCGCCAAATGCCAAACAGACAAAAAATAAACAACTTTACGAAATTTAGCTGCGAGCTGCACCCATAAATATGCCCAAGAAGACGAAGAATAACATAAAGGAAGAGGAAGGGGAAGGGGAAGGGGAAGGGGAAGGAGAAGAGGCGGTAGCGCCGGCTGCAAAGTTGAAAGTTTAACGAACTTGTTAAAACGGGAATCGTGCGTAATTGATAAAGAGTTGAGCTAAGGCTAAAGCAACGGTACTTAGAGACTGTGTCCCTGCCAGCTGTTGCTGCTGCTGCTCCTGCTGCGCCTGTTGCTGCATCGTCCGACGATTTACGTCCAGCTACCTATTTGGTTAAGCAAATTGTGTGCTAAGTGCTGCTCTCACATGTGGGAAAGGGTCAGGGGACGGGGCGGGGTGTGGGCATAGGGCATGCGAGTGTGTGCATCTAGGCCGGCAGGCAGGCGACAAATGACAAACAATTTGGACATACATCGAGCGACCCCAGCAGGGGCAGTTGCTCTCACACATTCGCTCATCCTGCGTCCCCTCAGCTGGTCTCGTTGCACTGGCTGCAGCTACTCGAATTGTTCCTCATCCGAGGTCTCTCGTCACCCTATATTTACCTCTGTTTGCGCTTTTTTCCGAAGGTTTTCGAGTAGCGCACGCATAAAACAGATGCAGAGGCAGTTGCCCTTGGTCGAGGGGGACACGAATAACGAGGAACGAGGAACGAGGAATGAGTAACGAGAACACCGGCCGCTGGTTGGTTAATCTTGGCATTTTTTCGGGGTGTTATAATTCGTTTAGCTGCAATTATGACACAAAACCCAAACGTAACCGTGCACATACCCATGCTCGTGGGTTACTTGCTGCTGCACTTCTGCCCACGTGCCCAAGCCCAAGCAGCGCATAGGCTTCCCCTAACAACCAGTCCGGTCCGGCCAAACGAAAAGGGGAACACTTATTGATATGGAACGCTGTCCTGCTGTGTGTTTGTGTCTAGCCCGGAGCGAGAGGGGCCCTAAGCACTGATTGCAAGTGCTGAGTGGGTTTTTTAACAATTAATTCATTAATTGAAAGCAACAGTACAAGTCAATAGGCGTAAACATTATATAAACGATTAATCTGAGATCACACGGTAGTTACCCTTACATATTTCTACTATATATTTATATAAAAAAAGCTAATTATCGTGTTTGAACAATGATAAAACCACTCAATTGTTACAACTACTCAAATGTATTTTAGGCAAGTAAGCTCTAGTTGGCAGCTAACTATCGAGAAACTCAATATGTATATAAATATAGAAGTATATAAATATATAAATATATCCATACATCATATTTATTCTATTGAATATCATTTTATAAAAGTGACTGCTTGTTTACAATTTGCCATAGTTCGCCACATTTGGGGCAAGTAACCCAAAACTATGGAAAAATGGAATATGCCTGAAATTCGTGAAAGCCCATATGACAAATATTGGGACAATAACTTTGAAAATATACTTGATATAAATTTATAGCTAATACAAAAAATGGGAAAAGTTACAGATTGTTGGAAATAAACAAACGAACTACGCGTGAAAAACGACAAGGCTCTAGCTCTTCAAGAATACTACGGAATACAGAAAAGCGGACTGAGCTTGTCTCCCTGAACTGCAATATATATACTTGATGGGATCTGACAAGTCTGCTGCTGTCTGCTACATATAATTAAGAAAATCATTTTATGTTCTGGATTAGTCCTATTGGACTAAAGTAGACACAACCAAGCAGTGCACAATCAATGTAAAGTAGTTGTAAAACGGTGAACTGCTTGTGGCTCAACAAGCAGTTCTTGCACTTAGCATAAACACAAACCACAAATGCAATGGGAAAAGATACGAAAATACGCATGTAAAGACGACACCTAATTGGATCTGTTTACCAATTGATTCAACTTGGCTATATTAGAGTTTATGTGCGATTAGGTACTTACGCACAAAGCTCCGCCTTGACCATCTGACGTGCGGTGTTCTCCTCGTTTACGACAAACATCCAATTGCCCCGGGAATTGAGAGCAGCTTGCGGTGTTATGAACTGCGATGTCGTTTCACAAAGTGTGGAACGCGACGGACTTTGTCGTTTGATTCGGGATTTGTCCGTATGTTTTGTATTGCTGTTGTTGTCGCTGACGCCCACAATATCTAAGAGATCCATGTTTAGCGATACATCACGCATGCTGCGTTTATGCTGCTCCTCCCGCTCCTCCTCCTTATCCTTCTTCCGCTCTACCTCCTGCTGTTCGCTCGCCTCCTTTACCATTTTCACGGCCTGCTCCTTAAGCTGCTGCATCTCTGACTGATCTGCCTGAATGGCCTTCTGCTTAAGACTCAAGTCGCGCACGATACGCTTCAACCAGAGCGTCGCATTGTAGGGCGTCTTGCCATTGCTGTAGTACAAATGCCTCGTTCCAGTGCCGGATCCAGACTGTCCGCCGTGTTGCTGACCGCCCGTGCGAAAGCCCCCACGATTGCCCGACGAGGTGTACAGTAGGTACCTGCAGTGGAAAAGAGAGTTAGGATCATTTGGGGAGCTGCAGCAGCTACTCACGTGGGCGCATCTGTTGTGGGGTTGGCTGCGAAGAGAGAATTGCCTGCACCGCCGTGTGGCACACCGCCAAAGGGCGTCTGATAGCTGTAGCCGTTGAAGTCTTGCCCGTTAGCAAACTCGCGCTGCGGAAATATGGACTTCGGGTCGTAGAACACGGGCGTGTCCGACCAAGCAACGGCCGAGAATTCCTCCCAGGTCTCGTCGACCAGCAAAGAGGCCGCCTCGTAGCCCCACTTGCGTACGAGACTCTTAATGAGATATCTGCAAAGACGAGACACAATGAGAGTGAAGCTGAAGTTGTTACCCAAGTGATGTAAGAGATTGTTTCGAGTAGATTTCGCCGTGATCCCCCCTCCCATCCCATTCCATCCCATCCCTTGACATGGGAATGTGCTGCGAAAGTGGAATACCATGCCACTTGTCGACATCGCCCAATTGGCTTGCGCAACAAGCCGACGAGCAGACAGCGGGAGTTGCGGACAGACAAATACCCGAAAGCGTGCCACGCCCCTGCTCACTGCTGTTAAATCATAATTAATATTGCAGCCAGACAATGGGTTAGGCTAAATAGTATTATTCACTTATATTCACGTCGACTGCACCGCATGCGTGTCACGTGCCACAATATGTGTCACATGCAGAGGTGAAAACGGGCTGTGGCTTTTCCCCACTCGAAGTGTTTTTCTGTTTTCGTTGTTATTATTTTTCAGAATTATGCAACATCCGAATTCCGTAGGCCTCATAAAATGACTACTTAATTGCTGAGACGGCGCCAAATGGTGGCCTCACCCGGGGTCTGCCTTATCATTGTCATTGTCATTAGCATTAACATTACTATTATCATTATTAGTATCATTATCATTGCGTGCAGGGGCAGCAACTCACTCACACTTTTTCAAATCGAAGAAATTATCTAAAAATAGCCAAACAAATGGAAGAGCAGGCAGAAATTCAAATCAACTAACAATCCATATAAATGAGCATATGAAATACAAATTTGAATGCAGACCTAACGAAGTTCAAACACTCTTAATTGCCATAGACCATGTTGACTTTTAGTATGCTCTTTTCTGTATTGTAAACAAAATGCCTATTATTTTTTTTTTTACTTCTTTTTTTATGTAAAATTCATTACTTTTATCTATCTCTAACAGTTAAGGAAAAAAAGAAAAAATAAATATTATAAATATTTTATTAAACCCATACATATATTTTAATAATATTAACAATAATAATAATCATAAATAATATTTTGATTGACAAAAATGTGTTTTATTTTGCGAAAAATCTTTTATTTTTCAAGAACTGTACTACGTGAATGAATATGAAACTATCATATTTCAATTAGTTTCATCCGGCTGACAAACCATGTAATGTAATTAGAACAGGGGATAACTATATAAATATGGAAAAATATTTTGTCAGCTATTAGGACTTAATCGAAACACATATGGAAAAATAAATTCTCTGCTGATAATAAACTACTGAAAAGTAATCGAAATATGGACTCTGTGGCCAATCAGTCATATCGCATAGCCATAATACCTCACACACTATACTATGTATATACATGCTTAATTATTCAAAGAGGCATTCATAAATATTCGAGAAGCACGCGGCGCGTCGTCACAGACAAAGTGTCTTGAACTGTCAATTCAAGTTTATTGGGTCAAGGAGCTCCGCCAGCTGGTCGAGTCGAGCAGCAACAGCCACAGGCTAGAAGCAGATCCACCAGAGAGAGACAGACAGAGAGAGGGGGAGAAGACAGCAGCCAGAGCATCTTCGAGTTTGCGTTGTCGTCGCGGAACTATCGACTAGCAGCTAGCAACTGTCGGCTAACAGGTCTCTAGGTATACGTCTATAAGTGTATATGGGCTTATGGGTATATGGGTTTATTGGTATACGGGCATATGGGCATACTAGTATTCAGAGTAGAGACGCGTGTGGTATATGCAAAAACGAGTTTCTGGTTTCTGTGCGAGATCGTTTGAATTCGATTTGGCGCGGGCAGTGAGTGTGTGTGTTGGCCAAACATTTGTTTGAAATGCATTTGCATGTGATTTTGTTTGCTGGCAACCGATTCTGTGTGACTTTGAAGAGCGGACATTAAGCGTGTTATTTATGTGGGCCATTTGGCTCGCTCAACTTACGTGGGATAGTTAGCGACGTGCTCGCAGTAGGTTTTGCCGGGCCTGGCGCAGCTGTAGCAGAGAAGAAACAGAATTAATTTAATCATTTAAATTTACTAAGTTATACAGATGGAGTGACTGAACTTACTTGGGTGTCTGTCCCGGCGGCGCTGGCAGGAATTGGCAAGGCGGCGCGCCGTATAGGCCGCATGAGGGGGGCGTGCTGAACGCTGCTGAGATACAAGCTAATATCTGAAAGGGGCGTGTGGCTCAGACCGGGTGCCGGCGACTGTGAATGAATGCATTGTGAATACTCACCACATGGGATAGGAGAATACCCCCATAACTACTAGAAGTGCGGAGACCGAGACGGAGACTGATACGTTTAATACTCTTTGTCATTGTCAATTCATTCGTCGTTGGGCTTTGCGTCGGCGATTTGCATTTGTATTTGCGATTCCGTTGCCTAAGATACACAAAGAGTTGATTTCAATTGAGTCGAATGTGTTTGGGCAGCGACGTGATGCGTGATGTCAGTTTTGCCCGATGAGCTGAAAGTGCCCAAAGAGTGTCCGCAATGATCGCTGGAGAAATTGCAATAAATCACCTAAGTATGCATGTACGATTCGATTATGCCAAGTAAACAATTCATTTCATCCGATTATCTATTTACACAGTACGCACAATTGGACTAATGGACACCTCGTCAATTTGGGAATCTATTTGATTTGAATGTCAAATAGTTTTGTGTTCTATTGATAGAAGCTGCGGATTTATGTGATGTCATTTTATATAATTAAAAAAATTTGATATTAAATATATATATCGAATATCAAATATATTCTTCTGTAAACTACATAAATTATGGGAAACTCCAATATCAATTAGTATAATTGAAACATCTTAGATTTTTAGCTATTCACGAACAAGATTTCATGTAAACATGGAATCAGGAATATTTTCAAGTTATATATATAATATTTAATATTTCATTTAGTTCACACAGATTATTAATATATTATATTTATTATATATTAATATAATATAATATTTATATTTATATTATTCTAAAAATTGCAGCCTACGGGATCGTGTAAAATTGTGCCCTTTATAAAGTCCACTGGCTAAATTCCTCAGCAATTGAGCTAGCAAGAACTTTAACTGACCATAAGAACACAATTCTAGACTACGCCACAGAGGCGGGCTTGAAAGAGTCAAGAGCACTCTCACCGGATGGTTTACATCAATGTTCAGTTCAATAATTAAACATCTAAGAGTGCTGCTTTTGAGACGCCTGAACCCTTCGACAGATCTGATATTCCCATTATTTTATGCATACACAATAAACAATACAAATACGCAAAGGCAAGCGCTCTGCTCACTACGCAGTTGGCGCAGCTACTGCCTTTTGGGCCATGTTATGGGATCTTATTTGTTGAATAACCTTTCTTGTAAGTGGATTTTTCCAATAAAACTTACAGAAAGTTAACTTGATGGCGTTAGATGAATGAACAGTTCTATAGTATACTTTATTTTCGCGTTCTGTCCAAGCGATCGTCGCATTAGTTTATAGTTCATAGATCGATTCTTTCATCTAACTTATCTAAAGTACACAGTGTTTTATATTTTTCAACGCGAGTAATTATAAATTTTTTTAAACAAACTCGATCTGCGAACTGCCCGTTCATCCGATCCGTCTGGTTCGATCGCAGAACTTATAAGAGATAGGACTATATGGTTTTTATAGGTTCCAGTATAGTACATCTATAAAAACCATACAGTCTCTTTCTTTAATAAATTCGGAGATCGAAGCGGACGGTTGGGATGGACGGACAGGGCTAAATCGACGCAGTTTATCTGCCTTATACGGTTTTATTTAAGATATTTATATATGTGTATATACTTCACACTATTGTTAGTGTCCAGCAACTGGGCAAACAAAAATTTAAAAATTTATGCTATATGGAAAGCAATAAAAAAGTTTACAAAGTAAGAAATAAATAATATTTTTTATATTATTGATGGGCCATATCGGAATATAACTTCCCTTTAACATTGTTTTGCAAACAAAGTCGAAGAGTTTCCACACATTTTACTTGTCCAAATAGTCAGGCACTTAACAATTTGCTCAAGCGCTAATTACGTTCAAGCTGACATGTGGACTGTGGTGGGCGATGGTGGAGGGGGTAAGGGTGGTAGGCCTAAGCCTTAGGTTGAGTTGAGTTCAAGCCGAAGTTGAGGCAAACAACCCACAAAGCAATAAGCACTAAGTAAATTGCGAAAAATTGCTAAAAGTGAAAGCGATGTCGAGACGTTGCGACCCGAGCCGCGGGCCACCTGTGGCCTCTCAGCCCAAGACTCCGTTTGATCAAGTGCCAGCGCATTAGACAATGCCAACAGCCACGCCCACCATTAGCGATTTCAATTGTAATTGATGTTGGGTACTCGACACCTAATCGACGTGGGCGTTGCAATCAGAATCATAAAAGACGGCCTCCTGTCGGCTAATCTCAATAGTTATAAATTGATCTAGATGCCGAAATTATACGATAATTAACAATTACGGATGTAATTTAATGACATTTGAATGATAATGCGAAAATCTTTGACTAAATGGGGCCTCAATGTTATTTCAAGCATTCCTTATGGAGCTCAACTTGAGTGCGCCCGTATCAAATATTCATACCAAATTAATTTTCCAATCGCAGTCAAATCGTTCTGTAGATAGGTGTTAATTATAGATGCGATAGTAGTTTAAACAAATGTCAAAAATACAGTTCTTAGTCGAAAGCACTTCATTACTATCTCTCTTTATCAATCAACTTTCAAGATTCTCTTTGAAGACTCCAGTATCTCAGGAACGAAGAGGGAGTCGACTTTGGAATGTAAATTCGGATTAACTTAAGCTGAAAAATATATGGTGAATATATATGTTTCTACGCTCATTGCGGACATGTCAAATCGGGTAAAACTTGATATACACATTTAAAGTTATAAGCTAAATACAACATATCTTGAAATTATGTACTCTGTCGAATTTAGACATAATAATTATTATCCCAAACTTCGACTTGTTACATGTCTGCCTGCACCGGCTTTTTGAAAGCTTTATACATATAGCATATATCTTGAAATATTATTTAAGTTGTAAATAATATTTAGGATTAATCTCAATTTGGTGGGACGCCTTTCAAAAAATATCTATATACTTCCTTCATCTGGGCAAAGTTATTAGAGATAGCACGATAGCAAACTTCAGAATATTCGTCTTTTTACCCGAAATTTAGTAAGACCGACTTCATAATCTATTAAATATATTTCAATCATATTTCGGATTTGCTGCGCAAAGGTTTTATAATATGCAAATCTATCCATGTGGAGGACATAGACCATAGTTGATAATTTTGCCTTAAAGAAAGCTGTATCCAATTTATTTATACTTTACGATTTTTTTTAACATTATAATGAACTTAACTTCAAATATACCTACTTCAAATATACCTATAGTACAATTTAACTAACGTTTGAATCTGAATTCCGGTGAATCCGATTTATTTTTAAAACATTAGATATCTGTAATTAAATTATTATTATATTAATTTTGGGCATTTTCCCACTAGGGGTTGCATGTTAAGGAAAATAATCAATTGCAGATCTGATCAGAGCACGTTATGGAACAACAAAATAGCAACAGTAATAATAATAGCCATAAAACGAATAAAACGAAAAATCTAACTCACAATTTGAGGTATAGAAACAACCGTTACTAATTCAACGGCTACCGCAAATAAAATGATAATCATAATGTGTATAAATTCATAAAAGCTGAAAAGCTGTTCAAATCGAGAGCAAAGCACACACAATACAACACAATCGAACAGCATTTGAATGCCAGAAACCGGATTCGTGACCAGCGTATCTCCCAGTACCTGGTGTCATACATAGTTTTATTAAAACATACACACACACACACTAACACTCTGCTCTACAATTAGAATTAGACAAGAAAATTAATTGGAATTAAGTCGTGTCATTGCGTTTCAATGGAATGTGTTCAATAGAACTGGTTCTCGAATAGTGGGCACCTGCCGTGCAGCCGTGCTAGGATTTCCGGGATCGGCTGTCACTTTCGATTTCATAAATCAATCAACATTGGCACACACACACACACACGCATACGCGCATACACACACAAAAGCCTAGAGTCAGACATCACAACAAAAGCCCATAAAACTCAATGCGCAAATGAGCTTGGCAGCAGCGGCATTTGGGCTCTTTGCCATTTAGGCCATTTAGCGACGTTGTCGCCATCATCGGCAACTGCTAATGGAGCTGGCTCGACGCTTGACTCTCCACTCCCCGCTCTCCGCTCTCCATTCTCTGCTCTGCAGTCTCCAGTCTCAGGTCTAGAGTCTTTGCATTAGTACATAGTTACGCCCACGTTTATGGTATTTCCCCATGTTGCGCAGGCGCCGCGCAACACGGCCAATTCGTCAGCTCATAAATCATAAAAACAGTTTTCGTTCGTTATTTTTCTGGCTGCTGTTCAAAATGGTTTATGGCTTATTGGGCATTTGGCCATTTGCACGGCATTAACTCACATGGCCAAAATGCATTCAAATGACCGAGAAAACATTTTCGCTGACAATTAGCTGATTGCGAATCGCTCAATTGTCAAAGTCGTTCAGCTTTGTTGCAATGTGTTTGAAATTGCTTTCAATAAATTTATTATTGCTAACTAATTAAAATAAAATATTTGGCCAGTTTACGATTCAGTTAATTGATCTCTATTATATGTATGTCTGTATATATGCAGAATCGAATACAATTAATATTTATTGATTAGTTTCTTTCAACTTGAGTCTAGGCATCGGTTGACAACTCTATCAAGAATCTGTATATTCGCCTTAAAAACATTGTTTCAAAAATTTGAATTTGTCAATATAAAGCAAATCGAGGAAGCTATTGAACAAAAGACAGAGTTCCTCTGTGCATGATAAAAGACTTAGTTTAATTTGAATTTCAATTCAAAGTTTTTTTTTTTTTATGGGTTTCAAGATTCACACATTGAAAAGCAGCCAAAGCAGAGACTAAAGCCGCACAGATTGACTGAGTCAGTGATGCCAGCTAAGGTAGAAGATATTTTGCATCTGCATTAGAAGTAAGGTGTAACAAATATTAAATGAATGGGCTATATTTAAAATAAAGAAGATTTTGCAATAGTTTTACAATATATTTTTTTATTTTATTTTTATGAAAGGATTCTGAAAGTATTATATATAATCTGAACGTAATTCATGATTTCAATAGAGCACAAACAAATACAAGCATAGCTACAGCAGATTGGCTCAACAGACCTATGTATATAACTAGCCTGATTCATACGCTAAACTGTGAGTTAGTCAAACAAATCAAAAAATACTCGCAATAAAAACCACATAAAACTGAGGAAAAAACAAGTAAGAAAGCTCTAGTCGAGACTGCTCGACTACGAGATCCCCTGAACCCTTGGAGCAATAGATATTTCAATACTTTTTCGCGACTTTCAGCTTACACAAGAAACACGCACACACACACACACGCACGTACGCAAACACAGGCATACATACACACACACGCATACAGACACACATACACACACACACGCATACATACACAAACTCATACACACACACACATACACACACACATACACAAACACATACACACACAAGCAACCATGCATAAACACGCATGGGCTGCAGTGTGCGCTTACTATGAGAACTTAATTGTTTAATAACTTTTTTTATGGACGTACGATCTTCATGAAACTTTTAGATTATGATTATAACATGAATATGCATGTAATTGCCAAAGCACAAGTCTCTAGTATTTGAAATACGCTTTTTACAAAAGTGAGGGTGAGGGGGGTGAATTTAGAGGTGGGGGGTAAATTTTAACAAAAACCGAAATTGTATAAATTGCATATAAGCATACATTAAAAATTTGGAGACTCTAGCAATAAAGGTGTAGAAGATATAATTTTATAACTGGGTTTCGATAAGGGTTTTTATCGATAAAAAAATATCGAGATGAGTTATCGATTTTTAATGATAAACTTGATATGCGCGCTGTAATTACGGACATTTTAAAAAAAATTTGAAGTCTCTAGCTCTTATATCTTCTGAAATCGACGCGTTCATACATACGGACAGACGGACAGACGGACAGACGGACAGACGGACAGACAGACGGACAGGGCCAAATCAACTCAGCTCGTCACCCTGATCAAGAATATATATACTTTGTGGGGTCTGCCACGCCTCCTTCTCCCTGTTACATACATTTCAACAAAACCATTATACCCTGATTTCCCATTGAAAATGGGTTCAGGGTATAAACACACGCGATTAATTGCTGACGTCTTTATGCCCTTGTAGAGGGAAATCTGAAGCTCTGCTTGTCTCTTTTGTCAATTTTAAGATCTTTCGATGACGAACAGCACTCAATTTTTGTCACAGTCAAATCAGTGCAACCGTATTTTGGGTGCATTTACGACATATTTGGGTTTGGGTTCAGTCCCACGCCCACAGCTCGCTCTGTCGTGATTTTGAAATTCAACTCAATTTGTTTTGCTTTCACCCATCAATTTAGATCTTAATAAAACAGATTTAGCTTCATTTGACACTAATTTGGCAGCGTTTCAGCTGAGGTGCTACGCGAGTAGTTGGGAGAGACAATGGAGTGATATAGAGACCACATACTAAGTAGCAAATACCAAATACCAAATACCGAAAACCAAATACCGAATACCAGATACCAATACTAAAAAATCGCTTCATTATAATTTTTTAAGCATATATTTTATACTTGAGTATAGCTGAGAAATTAAGCACGACTTTTCAAGGCTGTTGATAGTTTTTTTTTTTTTTTTTAATTTTTTGGGGTTTCTTGTTGTTGTTTTTGTATTTGTTACTCTTGGTTGTTTTTTGTTTTTGGTTTCATAGACTCCATTTTATTTAATTTGCGTTGATCTTATTTTGTTTTTGTTTTCATTTTCATTCAACTTTTGAAGCAAGTGCTTCAAACTTTCCATAACACCTAAGCTGAAAAAAGCTCAATCAATAAATCAGTTTACTTTTGTTGTGTTCTATCTTAGACGAGTTTTTATACAGTTTTCGGATTATTCTGGCGGCAAGCACGAGGCAAATTGAACCTACATACATGAATACATATGCACAAAAAACAAAAACGAAAACAAAAAATCATTCATTAATTACTCACCTTTGCTTATTTATAAATAAAAATGAATTCAATGCTTGCGCTCATCAAAACAAAACTTATTATGGAGCTTTAGTTAATCAGAATAATTGGGTTTATCAAATCGAATCGACTTTTCACATAAACAATTTTCAAATTCGCACTGAACTCGAGCGATTTAGATCGCTGCTTGAAATCGAATTGAGCTCTTGTGTTTTTGTTGTTTTCTCTCCTGGTATTTGTTGTTGTTTCGATTTTGATTGTGGCTTTATTCAGTGTTGCGGCAAACAACTCAACGATGTTGTTCAATATGCGACTAATTACAAAAACTTTGCACGTTCGAGCGTAGAAAGGCAGACGCCAGTCAAAGATATCAATTTTGTTTTGTATTTTAATTTTTTGATTCAATTTCAGCTTCAATTTCGAATTCAGTTTAAACTCGATTTCAATTTCAATTTCAATTTTAATTTCGGCTTCAGTTTCGGTTTCCGTATCTCGCGGCCAGCCCAATCGTGGCTGCAGCTCGTTGCCAACTGAGCGCGCGCACCAAACTTGGCTTCAACTGCCGACCAGAGCAGCGCCCAACAGTGAGTCTATGACGCCGGCAGCGCTAGCAACCGCAGTGCCTAAAGTGAGAGAGTGATAGAGAGAGAGAGAGAGAGAGGAGGGCGAGTAAGAGTGAAAGAGAGGTCTTTGCTGTAGGCGCATGTACGGATCAACTCTGGCTGATCGATCGCTCAACCTCTGAACTTTTTGGCCAAGTGATTCATAGTGCATCATCTTGAGCATTTGGCCAAGTTGGCCAGCTAAACTCAGCTCTAGCTCCAGCTCCAGCTGAGGTAAAGACCGGAAGTTAATTAGCTGCCCAGCCAGTCATTCAAACAATAAACTGACTTTATTTTATTTATTGTCAATTTTTATTATTTGTTTTACATTGTCGCGAATATGCGAAACTGTAATAAAGTGAATTTATTTAAATTGTAAATTTACCATTATTGTTGCTGTTGTTTTCGTATTCATTTTGTTTTATTCTTCTTTTTTTGCTGACTGCCTTTGTTGTTGGCTGGCCATAGACACAATTCATTGTTAGCTGTTGCTTTTGATTTTTATGGCCAATGAAGGTTATTTCGGCTTTTATCTCCTTTATACATGTATCTCTGTATCTGTGTGTGTGTGTGTGTGATGTGTGTGTTGTTTGTTCATTGGTTGTTTGCTTGTTTTCTGGCTCTTTGGCTCTTTGGCAAATAGATCTTTGAATGCAAACATCGGTTTGTCAAGTCAGGCCCAAGCCTTCTTCTCTATAGCAACGCAAAAGGCGTTATTGTGGGAGGCCCCAACAAAGCTACAGTTATTGAATATAGCTCAGCAAACCATTTAAATCAATACCTTCCTTCTTACATAAAAAGTATGTTTATTAATTTCTACTATTGACTTCAAATACTCTCTCTCCCTCTTCCTCTCCCTTAGTTTTAAATGAACTAATTTAATTTGCTTAAATATATTGGGGTGATTGCCCAGAATCCGAAAATTTATTTCAATGGATAGGTGCAATTATAATATAATATACAAAAATATATATTGTATATATTTATAGTTAAATAATCCATTGAAAATTTAAATTAAAAATTTAATAATATTTGCATTCAAGTTTAAAGTATTTTCAAATTGCATAAAGTATCTAGTCTACTCGAATTACCGAATTACTTTTAGCATATTTAATTCCTATTCATATAAATATTCCTGTGGCAGTTTTGTTTAAACTTTAAGAACTTTGATTAGTTAACTTGTTAGTTAGTATATTTGCACATTATTTTACAGTTATATACAATTTGGCTTTGTTGCTTCAACTTTCACAAGACTCGATAGAGCAATGGACGTTGACCTAGGCTGTGTGTGCGACTACGGCTGTATCGAGAAATACGGAAAAACCCTGGCAGTTGGATGGCTCACGCGATCTTCGTTCGGCTATTTGGTGCTTTTTATCGAAAATGGTTTTTAATGCGTTTTTAAGTCAAATTAGTGACTTCATCAGCTCAGGGCTTGTCTTTCTTCTTGGCTGAATGCTCAGTCGGCGCAGCTGCCCGGTATCACTTAAGCTGCCCATTAATCAAAAGCCCTGCGCCATGTATCGATGTATCGGGACCGCTTGCCAGAGACGTAACTTATTGCCCGGTCCTCTCCTCCTCCTCCTGCCAACGAGCAGGGCTCGGTTTCAATTACGAAATTGTTAATTAGATGTTGGCTGATTTGCCGAGATGGCTAACTGACTTGCTGGCCTATTGCGTGGTCGTCGCAGTCGTCGCAGTCGTCACAGTCGTCGGCGGTGTCGGAGGTGGCGGCGTCGTTGGCTAATGAAAACATCAACTTGTTGCTCTTGGCGTCTGTCGATAGTGTTCGATATGCGTCCAATTTGCTGCCACTGTAGTCACTGAGGTAGTGCCTATCGACATTGATCTATCAAGTGTTTCTTTAATGTTGCGCCAACAATCATTTATTTTATGTTTTTTGCTCAAGCCCCCGGGGAACTTCCAACAGCAAACTGCAGAGAAACCGCGCGGAAAACGCGTGTAAATCGTGCGCGGTTTGTTTTTCGTACAGAGTGAGCGAAATAGCAACATATTTGCCTTTTCGGTTGTGTTATCTGCTGCGAGCAGCTGTGCATGACAAAAGCTAATTGCTTTGTAACGCACGCAGTTCGTTTGATTTCGAAATTACTTTGTGACGTATAAAATAAGAACCATATTGAAAATAAAAAATTACTTAATAAATAATACGCATTTAATTAGAAAAATATATATGCTAATAGTACAGAAAATAAAAAATATTGCAGATGAAAAATTATTTAATAGGTGCTTTAAATAATAGTAATTTACAAATGTATTTATACAACTATTATCTAGATTGAAAATTTTATAGCTATTACTAAAATTTAAAAGGTATTATTAGTTGTCTTAATGAAATAACCTATACATATTATTTATGGGTACATATTATACTTATTACAGTAGAATTCGGTTATAGCGACGCACAAGGAACCGTCGTTATATCCGGAAATCGCTATAACCATATGAATTTGTTCCTATAAGTATGCGTGGGGCCAGAAGTTTCGCCGCAATAACCGTACGGACGCTATAAGCGAAGTCGGTAAAACCGAATTCTACTGTATTTTCAAAAATAGCTGTTATCGTAATAATCAGTTAACTTGAAAATTATATTTTCTGTTCATATTTAACAGATATTTTCATATAATCAAAACATTATAAATTAAAAAAAAAAAATAAAATAATAAAAAAAAAAATAAACTTAGTAATTGCCAGAATAGAAAACAATACCTAACTGGCCATGAAATGGTTTAAAAGATGGATAGAATTGGAGTGTTGCTTGTTGGCCTCAAAGGCAGTATGTTGTCAATTGGTAATTTATATTCATTGCCGCGAAAAGCAGAAAAGTTCTCTAGCTGACAAAATCCAAATACACAAATAGATCCGCCCGTTAAAAAAGCGATAAAGCAAAATAAAAACAAGAACGAAAAAAAAAATATAACAGCAAATCCATATGTTTTAAATTTATGCATAATGAACTGTCACGTGCCCTAACTAAGTGACCATAAATAATAAAATCCAAAGGAAATGTCCAAATGAAGATAGAAAGAGAAAAACTCTTAGCAACTGATAGCAGTGCGAAAACAACAGCGAGGAGTGCGAGAGCGAGGGCGAGAGAGGCAGAGAGAGAGAGATAAAGAAAATGCCGCAAGTTGACAATGAATGAAAACGTTCGCAAAAATAACAGGAAAATGAAGAAAAAGTTAACCAGCCAACAGAAGGAAAACAACGAAAATTAACGCGTTCTATGGGTCTGGGTCGCTTGTGCTTTATCACCCACCAACAACAACAACAACAACAGAAGCAAAAATTATGCCAGCGAGCGATAAAGAGAGAGCGAGTGAGAGAGAGAGAGAGAGAGGCAGCGAGAGAGAAAGAGGCAGAGAGGAGCGCGGTAAAGAATGCGAGAGACATGAAATGAGCGCGAGCGAGCGAGGCGAGTGAAAAAGTTTTCCCATTGTGAAAAACTTGACATGGTCGCCATTGCCAACGCCATCATCAGTTCAGTGGAGTAACGGCCACAGCTGAATACGGACGTGTTGTGACGTGACGCGTTGAGTCGTCGAGTCGTCGAATCGTTGAGTCAGTCGCCTTCAGTGTACCGAAAGTTTTCGACTTTGGTCTGTCCGAGTGCGCCCAAGGGCTGACAACAACACAAACTGTACACAAAAAGAACAAGAGGAGCACGACGAGGAAGAAGAAGAAGGAGGAGGCAAAAGCAAAGCAAATACAAGAAATTCAACTAAACGAATACAAAGCGAGTGTGAAAAGCGTGTGTACAAAATAAAAAATAGAAATCAAAGTATGCCCAGTGCATTAATGTGAACGCGTCGGTAGTGCTTACCTTGAAAACCGAATCGTAGCGGTCCCCGATGCCATTTCCGATGCGTTGCGATACGATTCGATGCGTGTAAGTGCAAGTAAAAGTGCTGCGACAAATTGTGGCAGAAACCAAGCGAAATGCTGAGCAAATTCATGAAATATGTTCGACAAATGCAAAAAGCCAAGAATCAAACGAAAAAAATACGCACAAACAAATAACAGAAATTAAGCTGAAAAGCGTCAAATAAATCAAGTGACACTACACGAAAAGAAAGAAAACAGCGAAATGCCTTAAGTATTCGCACACACACATAAACAGACACAGCTGCAAAATGGCTGTGTGGCAAATTCCTAGTGACGCGTTTAAAGCGCAGAAAATAGCGGCCGCCACACAGCAGCCAAAGTCAATCCATTGATTTTTCTTCAGCTGGGCTGAAGGGGCAGCTGCCTTTTGGCCAGCCAAAAGGACACTATGATCCTGAAGTGTCTAATCCTAGCTGGCACATGGGGCTCCACACATTCAAATGTCCGCACATTAATAATGCCCACCGCATTTACAGTCCACTCTACTCCGTCTCCCTCTCCCTTGCTCGCTCCTTTACCCTCTCCATCCACTTACAACAGATAAATGGCACAAAAATCGAAAACTAGGCAAACAACACAACAAATTGCCAAACAGCAGCAGTAACAACAACACGAACAACAACAACTAGTGAGCCCAGCAGAGAATCTGGTCCACAGGGCTGGGCTTTTGATTGACAACATTCGTAGGGGTTGTGGGCGTGGGGGACGGGGCTTGGCGTCAGTTTGGGGAAGAAAAAAGAAAAAAAAAAACACGGGCCAGACGCAGACGCGGCGTCGCAATAATCATAAAAGCGTTGAGCAGCAGGCGGAAGGATGAGTGCCGAGGGATCCGAGTGGGGTCTGAGTGGGGTGTGCGGGGTGGATGGGCTGTGGATTCATAAATTCATGAGTATGCGTCAAACAAACTGGGCGCGGCGTCGTCTGCTAGCCCTTGAAACTTATTATTAATGCAGCAGCAGTAATTAGCTAGCAGTCAGTTGTTGGCAATTAGCCGTTAGTAGCTGTGGCTAGGGCCAACTTGCAGTTGCATTAATTATTCGGCAGGCGACTTTAACTAAAGGCCGCATCGGCAGCCCCAAAGGGTACGCCAATTAGGCGCATAAACTGTTTACAGAATGATAGACACACACAGATAAACAAAGAGAGAGAAAGTGAGCGAGAGAGAGAGTGTGTGTGTGTGAGAGAAAACAAGATGAAGACATATAGTCACGTTTTCACTTGACTAAGGTCAAAAGTTTCAACTTCCTACACACACCCCACCTCATCTCGGCTCCCCTCCCCTCCCTTTCCCACACCTTGCCTAGCCTTGCCTCAGCTCATTCCCCACGGCCTGAACTTGATGTTGTCGCGGCTGTCGTCGCCGCTGCTGACGAGGCCTCCGGCAGCTATTTATAACAATTTTTTGTGCGCCCGCACAAATAGCATAAGCACGGCCAATAAATGTTCAAAAACTTTTAGTATAGAAGACAAAAAACCACAAAAAAAAAAACCGCAGGAAATCAACGAAAAATATTCTCCAAACGCAAGATTCGCAGCTAAAAGACAACTTTGCAATTGTCTGCGAGCATTAAGTGGCTAAAAGTCGGCAATCAAAGTTGGTATCAAAACTAATTGAACACATGTAGAAGTCTCTGTGTTGTGTGTGCGTGTGTGTGTGCGTGTGTAACAGTGAACCAAACAGCGACTGTGGTATGCAGACACACAGCAAAGAGCGCAGGACACGCACAGTCCGCTTTTAACAGAGAGCGTTGGAGGGGGAGGGGGAGGGGGAGAGGCAAATAGAGAGAGCGGGCGAGAGACAGAGAGAGCGCGCGTGAATTAGAGAGACTTGTAGAGACTTCCAGGCAACAACAGACACCTTGAGAGTGCTTCCAAAATAACACATTCCGCATGGTACGTGCCTCGGCCGTGCTGGTTCGTTCTCGCACAAAGGATTGTACGCAGGCATTGGAAGGGAAGCCTCTCGTTTCGGCTTTGCTTTCCTTTTCCCTTTGGTGTTGTTCGGTTCTCGTTTTCGGGCTTTCGCTTCTTGATGTGAAGTTTCGCCTTGGCTGGCTCAGTTCGTGGCTAAACTTTGGAGCGTGTTGTGCTGGAAATTGTTGCAAGCGGATAGAACCCCGCCAGTGTTGGCATGTGAATGCAAATTGAAACTTAATAATTAAACAATCTGCATAAGAAACAACACAAATATATCAATTCGGCAACTGTGCCGTGAGTGTCGAGTGTCGAACCAAAGTGGACTCAGTAGAACAAGAAAAGAAGAAGGCGAGACGACACGAAATAGCAAAGCAACTGAATAATTGTGCGAGTGAATATGCTTTTGAAGTAAGGCGTGTACCCAGAACAACATTACAGCCAACACACTCACACACACACACACACGCACGCACACACACACACACAGACTCACGCACACACTCGTATGTGCGTACAGGAAGAGGGTAGGCAAGCAAAGCGTAGACAGATAGGCGAACAGCAGTGCAGACAAACGGACGACGCAAACGTGAGGACAAATATAACGAAATAACCGAGCTGCGACTTCTGTAAATTTCATAGAAGCCCGTGGCCAGCACGGCGTATACGCATTATCATAAATGACAACCGAATAAGTTTTTATTTGCCTCTGACTCCGCATTTGTTTGTCTCTGCTGCCATTTCTCCTGTGTGCTCGTATTTTTCGCTGGTTAATAGATCTAGAAAAAAAAAACAAATATTGTTGTTGTTGTTTGTTGGGGGCATTTTCAATGCAAATTGTTGTGTGTCTCTGTGTGTGTGTGCAATAATTGAGCCAAGTGGAGCATATATATTATAAATGTATATTCTTTAAAATATGTATGTTGCCTCTCAGAAAACGCGTGTGGCTGTGACAAATTTGGTGGCCATTCGAAGCGGAAAATGTAAGCCGCCGCAGCTTGAGCAGAAAAGGCCTCTCAGTGCGTAGGCTCCGAAGTGAGCAAAGCGGAAAGCGAGCGACGACGTTTCCAACTCTAAAAAACTCTCTCTCTCTCTCTCGCTGAGTAACTACTACAACTATATAAAAGGTCTAGTTATAACTAAAGTCTATATAAATATACCTGCAATCTAAGCACGCAGCTCTACTCTCAGCTCTAACTGTGCGTGTACTTCTAGCGAGGTAAGTAAACTGGGGCTAACTGACTCCACATCATCTAGTTGACTTGCAAATTCTAAACTCACATCTGCATATTCGAATATGATTATTAATTTTTAGTGCGCCTCGGGGCGTACTCACTATGAAATTATGTTAATTCAATCGATATTTTGACTAATTTGGGCAGCTTTGCATATTGCTGCGCCCGCCTCCTGCCTGCCACCAGCTGCGGTCGAGTGCCCCCCCAGTTATGAGTCAATTAGCGTTCTAATTTGACATGCTACTTTACGTACTTTACCAACTTCACTTCACTCCGCTCAACTCGACTCGTTGAGGCAGTAAAATTTCTTCTGCGTTCGTTTATCGATAACAAAACAAGCTGCGCAAACACGTTTCCGAGTTGTCAAATAGCATTAGGGCTGTTCTGGTTTGATATATATATATAGCTTGAGATATTTATGTATAGAGACATTTATATATAGAGATATTTATACACATAAATATTTTGAACGCTTGATAAGTCAAGTGATAAGCAGCAGGGTGTGTTGTCTTAATTTATGAGTTTTGACAACTTGTGAGTGAGTAAGCGGGCGTCGATTCCATCACAGCCCAATGTCTCAGCCAGCTCACAGGTGATAAAAGAGCACACAAACAGTGCTCCACGAGTGTCGGCAAGTGGGGAACGGCAGGAGTGCAGGTCTTTTAATGGCTTTGCCAATTCCATTGTCAACAGAGACGGACAAAGGTGTTTTAGCAATTTACAGCAAAAAAAGTAAAAAAAATTATAGTCCGGCTGCCCAGCTAAGAGATACCCAGGGTTTTGAAACATACCCAAAGATTGATTTGATATTAACGGAATTAATTAAAATTGTCAGCATGCGAACATATATATTCTTTTGAGTAACTGTCGCCTTATAACAAGTCCACACTCTATGGTTGTATTTTCAACTGATGTTCACTTTAAAGAATTTAGGAAAATTTAATGCTGCAATCCAATATAAAGGCAAAATAAAAGTTGCATAACTCTTTTTGTATATAGTATATTATTGGGCTTTGTATATAGTATAATATTGGGAGTGTTTTATAGTCAAGTCCCAGACTATTCCAGATTCTCAGATCGATGGGCTCACACATAACAGCAAACGAATAGGGCTAATCAAATCAACTTGACATCCTGATCGATAATAGCCTCCTTCTGTTTGTTGCGATAATCTTAATATTATACCTAATAGCTAAACATCTTTTAGTCTTTTACACTATCAAAGTTCGTCTAAAACTGTCTTTTTCTTGAACTTGAGTTGCCATCCTGTGGAGATTGTCTGACTAGGGTGCTTAACCAAGCTACTCGTGCAACTTTACATATATTATAAACCAATATACCCCGATTTTCCATTTCCAACGTATTCAAGGTATAAACAGGAACGATCCCTCCAAATACATAATCTAGTTGGGTGAATTATGTAGAGATTCAATGCCATTCATTGGGAATGAACAGAATCTCAGCTTGAAGAAATACTTTGCAAAGTTTTACATTTACCGTTAGCATTAACTTGTCCAGAACTAGTTATTCGTCTCTTGCGACAGGTGCTAACTCAGCTCTCAGGATTGACACATTAGAGTAATGAGCCAATGCGAAAAGTTGGGATTATTTTGTAAACTCGGCGAGTGTGCGGATATTTGTTAAGCGTCACGCGACATTTAGCACTAAAACTTTTGCTATTGGCTGATGGTCGCGCCATTTGCCTGACTTTCCTATAATATGTGTCTGTATTGTGTATAGAGTATATATATATTTATAGAATCGCTTAGTTGGCCCATTAAAGTAGTTAACTCGTAATGGGGTCAGCGTAAAGTTGATGCCATTTACGCCAGGTCAATTGACATACTATGACAGGCCTCGTTGTGGTTCCTCCACCGTCTTCTGTGCATTAGCCATCCCGGATGTCCTTTGCCTGATGACGCGCATACGTTGGCAGCTTTATCTGCAGCGCGGCTCCCTCTGCCTGCAGCTCGAGTCAGCGAAGCGCATTTCCATTCATTTTTTGAAGGCATAATCAATATTTGGCAATGCGCCGAGTGTACATATGACAAACAGTCAGCGCGCCTAGAAACTACACGATATGCCACATGCACATATGTATGTAGGTATGTGTGTGTGTGCCTGTCAGAGCTTACAGGCTATTGAGTTATATGTGCACTCGTTTCCGCATCTGAGTGCACTCTCAATGATTTGCAACAAAATGTTGAACGTCTTCTTGTTTCGCCTACTCCCTGCTCATGCAACTCCTCCTTGGCAGTCGCCCATGGTATACCCTAGTAATTACAGTCGAAGTAAACATCGCATAATGAAATTGTTATAAACAAAATAAATTTGAATGTGTGTAGGCTATATATATAGTCTTTCGGGTAGGTATAGCCTCGTTTCCAAGCCAAAACTCTCTTACATTCTACATATATTCCAATATCACGATCCACAATTCAGCTCCAACTGGGTTAATTGAACCGCTGCCTAGCTACTCCCCAACCTCTCCCCCAATCCGTTCGTATGTTATATGACAATTCTCAGACGTTTTCCTCAAGGTTGTCGTATCTGGAGCTGTAGTCGGCTTAGTATCTTTGCCATCGACTTTGTACTACTTATTTATTGTTCGCTTTCATGTTTTGCGCCTCCTGCCTCTGCTTCTGCTTCTCCTTCTCCATTTCCTCTTTTCTTTTTATGTTATGTACGAACGTCAGCGATAAAAATCAATGGCAACGACTCCGAGCAGCTACCGAGTTGCGTTTTGTATTTGATTGGTTTGAGCAAATTTTCGGTTTTTGGCACACATGCCACGTGCTCGTGCCGCGTGGGAGTTCCATGCCCAAGTCCTTGCTAGACATGAGCAGGCCGCCTCCTGCACTCGCCGTTCTGCACTCTGCATTCTGCTGGCTGCAGGTGCACATGCCGCACAGACGGAGCCCAAAAATATGCACGACACATGTACGTGGGCGTTGCCGGGGCTGGCTTAAAGCGCGGACAGGCGAGCTGGATGAGTGGGCGAGGCTGGCAGGCAGAAGCCGTCAAAACTTTCGTGCCGTGTGCCCCTTTAGCGCTTGTTTGTCGCCGGCAGGTCACGAAATGGCTGCCAAGAAGGGGCTGCGCGCCACAAATTTCTCTTTCAATTGGGCAATTGGAGCGGCAAACCCGTCGCCCCACCTCGTCGTCCATTCGTTTCAGCCTGTGTCTTGGATGTGCCCTGTCACAGACTTCTGGAGCCGCTCTTATTGTCCTTCAGCCTCGCCTCTCTCTGCCAGCCCTCTGCCAGACCTCTGCCGGCTTATGTATTATGAATACCCATCCAGCTTTAAATTCACTCATTTATGCATACTCACATATGCGCACCTCCCACTGAGAGTGCGAGCATTGAGACTTGAATGAATTGAGTGTCAATTGCTCACGCCTCGGTCCAAAGCGTGGCCCATACGCAATGTAATTTATCTTGCGCCCCATTATGGCAGAGCGAGCGAGGGCATCAAATTAATTATCTGCTTATCTATTGCTGTGCGCGTCACGGCCTAGGCGTTCCGTCTCCTCTCCGGCTGTGTGTATCCGAGCTCCGTTGATTTGGCCACTTTGACGGAAGCAGTCCGTAAGTGGCAGCCGTTTATCCTAAATGCCAGCCAGCAAATTGTGTGTGGCAACAACAGCAGCAACGCCAGCAGCTACTTGCAACAAATTCCTCTACTCGCTCACGAGAGTGCGGCTGACTGTAACTGTAGTACTGCTGCAAGAGCGCCACTTAAAACGCAAAATGAAAAATGCAAAAAGCAGAACGCGCAGGCCAAAATTTAAACACATTTGCCTCCACACTAGAAGTTGACAAGCTGCAACCCCAACAGTCTGGTAAAGGATGGGCGCAGAGTGGACGTGGTTGATGGTTAGTTAAAATAAAAATAAAATATGAGCGTCATAATTAACAGACATGACGAAACTCTATGTGATTCTTGAAGGCGAGCAGAAATTTATGCTTCTGAGATTCGAGTTCTCTTGAATAATTTACTTTAAGCAAATGAGATAAAAGCCATCAGTCTTACTATATTAAACCATTTATCATCCTAATTAATCTTATCTGAGAGTTATTTTCATAATAATAAACTGTTAATTACATATTTTTTATATTTATTTTTATAAAAATAATCACCTCTTAAATATATTACTCTCCTGATGACTCACAGAGTATAAATCATAGTTAATAATTTATAATTAAAATAATAATAAAATAATATTTGTTTATAATATATACATTATATATTTATACAATATATACATTTTTTAATATTATAACAATAAATATTACTAGTACATTTTATTTTTCTATTATTTTTATCAATAATGTTGAATAATTCTATATTATTCGAGTAACGATCCCAAAAATTGATTCTATTTGACTGTGATCAATTCTGCTGATGATGATCGCTTCAGCAAATATTTGTAAGATAGGATATCAACACTGAGAAAAGCAAATATCCAGTAAGTGTCAATATATATAAAACGATATTTCAAGCTTATATCAATAGACGTCTTTAAATAATCCTCTCATTATTTGATCATAATTTTGTTTTTATATTGTTTGCTCATCACCTCACTCTGGCTAACTTTCGGCAATTATCGATTATTGTGGAAAAGAAAATTTAAGCAAATTTGAAAAAGGGAATAAGTTCCAGATAAATTATTCCAAAAAATTCCTTAGACACTTTTTACTACCACGACAGAGAATCCCCAAAATCTGTTTTTGATTCAATTTAGTGTTTTATTAGGTTTTTTCGCAATCAACTCCGCTTGTCCAAAGATTCTTGCATATTATATTAGAGCTTGTAGACCTGTGCAGTAAATAGCGCACTTAATTGTCGTGCTTCTGTAGAAATAGCCCTGCTCGACTCAGCTCAAGCCCTCATCAGCATCAGCAGTGACCCCTGAGCTCGGCCAACTGCAAAGCATTTGCGGTTGCTCTGCGCTCCATTCTGCGAGGCAGCGCTAATTGCTG